CAAATGAATCATCATAATGCCTGGCAATAATACCTTCCACACAAGAGGTAAAAAAAAGAGCTAAGTAAGCTTAAAGGATGGAGGAATCATGTAGCTTCTGATCATGAGAGTGAACGTGTTTACGAAATATGGAAAGGTTTTAAGAAGAAAATACATTTGGAATGGCCCTTGAAGAACAGATACATAATACACTAATATTTCAGAATACAAAATTGGGGAAGAAAAAGTTTCAAGAAAGAAGGACAATGTCAGGAGATGCTGAAGCCCATTTTGAGCAAATTGTCTAATTTGACTGGCTAGTGGAGTATGCAAAAGGAAGGAGAGAATAAAAGTCTAAAGGGGTAATATGGAATCAAATTGTTCAGGGTTTCAAATATTGGGCATTAGGACTCTGTTCCTAATTCGGTGGTCTTCAGAAAAGAAGAGCATTGACATTTTGAGTAGAGTTGTGCCACTGAGAGGTGAGCTCTAGACGGACTAACCAGGAAGAGTAGTTTAGGAGGAATGATGGCACCACTTAAGCCACTGAAGGAATCTTCTAGTTCTTGAGTTCGTCGGGGCTGGAAGTGGAGCTCTAGACATGGGGAAGAGATAGAGAAGATGAAAGTGTGTAGACAAGTGATACTTCAGAGAGTACAGCACAGGATTTAGCATCTAGTAGAATACAGGAAGTAGGGGAGAAAGGATGCCATTGCTATGATATGGTGTTCTATTTGGATACTATTAGAGAACATGTGAATATAGTGAACCCTTAAACAGCATGGGTTTGAACTGCATGGGTCCATTATATGTGGATTTTTTACTGTACAGTACTGTAAATGTACTTTCTCTTCTTTTTGATTTTGTTAATAACATCTTTTCTCTAGCTTACTTCATTGTAAAAATACAGCATATAAGATATATCACATACAAAATATGTGTTCATTGACTTTTGGTGTTATCAGTAAGGCTTCCAGTCAACAGTAGGCTCTTAGTAGTTAAGTTTAGGGACTCAGAGGTTATATGTGGACTTTTGACTGCATGGGAGATCCGCACACCTAATTCCCATGTCGTTCAAGGGTCAGGTGTACAGAGATTGGTGGGCTAGGAAGCAATCGACAAAAAGGTAAAGGATAAGCCCTTTCATCAGAAAAATTTGATGAAAGAAAAGAGGCTGGGGATAGAATTCCAGAGAGGAGTAAGAAGAGAATCATGGGAAGAAAGAGAGGAATTTCCTGAGAAAAACATGGATCGTAAGATATCCCAGAAGCCAATAGCAGATTGAAGCAGGTGGTCCTTCAGTTTGACAGTTAGGAAGTTCCCGGTGGTCACTGAGAGAACAATTGGTGTAGGCTGTTGTATTTGTAACTCCGATTGCAAAGAGTGACGTTAATGAAGAATAGCCATTAAGAAGTTAAATATAGTCAATTTAGACTATCCCTGAAATAATTTCAGTAGTAAAGGAAAAGACAAAAAGAGGGTGGTAGCCTGAGGTCCAAAGCAAACTTCTCTTTCCTCCATTTGAGAGTTTTGATCTCTGATTCTCTGAGTGAAATAATTCAATTTGTAATTTTACTTTACGTACTCACACATTGACGTACAAAGTACACTCGAAAGGGCTGGGAAAATAGATGGGGTCATTAGCCTTGGCTCTAATGAGAAATTAAGAGTATTTTTCCTGTAATGATAAGTTGGCATGTGAATACTTAGCATATGAAAAAGCCTTCAGATAGTCAGCAGCTTCCACTGTTCATTATCTTATGTTTTGGGGTTATTTTCTTGGCAGAAAATATCATTTGGCTGTGAATCTATCATCATTAAGAAAGGAATAAAGATTTTTAACAGAATACATATTCTCCTTGTGGAAAAATTATAATTGCTCCATTTTAACTTTCCATGTCCTGGCTCTAATTTCCTCTACACCCTTCTGTTCCTCTACAATAGAGGCTTTTTTTCCTGGTCAGTCTACACATTTAAGCTCACAAGCAACTTTCTGCTTTATACAGATGTAGAGCATTTTATTGAAAAAGGTATTCCGTGTCACCAGCCAACACTTTAGAAGGCCTGCAGTTGCTGAAACAGTTCGGCTGGTGAATTTCATAGTATGCTTTGTTTCTCAGCAGCATGTGTCCAAATATCATTTAGAGAGCACTCGTATTCTCGCGCAGAGACATACCTGAGCATCACTGCACACATCCAGTTCGTAGCACTAGAACAATCACCCATTCATCAGTTAAAAAAAAAAAAACAAAAACTATTTGTACTTCTACTTCTCAAAGCCAATTGGACACTGTTGTTGTATTGATCAGACCAGAAATCTCTCCCTCTGGGTTTCAGGGTTCAGAAAACTTTTTCTGTAAAGGGCCACATAGTAAATACTTTAGGCTTTGCAGGCTATATAGTCTCTTTTGCAACGATTCAGCTCTACCGTTGTAGTGCAAAAGGAGCTGTAGACAATGACTAATTGTGTGATTTTATTCCAATAAAACTTTATTTGCAAAACAGGTAGCAGGATAGATTTGCCTCCCTGGCTGTAGTTTGCCAATCACTGCTCTAGAAAGACCTTGAGTGGGATGTGTCATTTAGCCATCCATAGAGACTCAAGATGGAGAACCCATATACATCATTGAAAAGATACTAGTTTCTCAGTTGATGCCAGGTCAGTTCTAGTATTTGAATCACAGACATTTGCACTCCATCTCAAGAATTCCTCCATACCACATTTAACTCTCACTACCTGTGTTTTTCCTGCACCGTGGCACATGACCTTCTCATTTCTCTGTCCTCTTCAGCCCGTGTTACTTAACAAACCCACTTAGGCTCATCCTATTGGCTTCTGACTTTTATCTCTCTAGGTTAGGACTGCTAGAATTTGCTCTTTGCTCCAAATACCATGACCATAGGAAAAAAGTATTTAATTTTAGGGCCTCAAAGAACCAACTAGAAAAAGAAGTGTATACACTAAAATGGTGTATTTTCTTGCCTAGTCACCATATATTTTTTTCTCCTATTTATCTTCTCAGATACTGAAGGTGAAAACTCCTGTACCACACTCCCAAAGTGTCTTCAACAGAGGTCTACGGCACACCACTCTGTTCTTCTTAGCCTGAAATCTCAATCGTTAAAGTCTCAACACAGCACAGGATAAAGAAAACAGACTATGAACCATGTACCTGTACGCTGGTTCTGACTTACTCCGGTCTTGGGTAAGTTACTACCATGCATGTTAAAGCACGTTACCTTGGAGCAGTGGTCTCCCCGCTATACTTCAAAGAATCTTTAGACCTGCACAGATAATCATTTCCCACTATATGGTGAAAATATAAGTTGTTTGAGGAATATTTATTTTAGCTCTCTTGGACTATACTACTAAAAGTCAGTGTGTATAGTTTTTCTGAAGAGTACCTGGGAGCTTCTAGGAATTTTCTCCCAGATTCACAATGAAAAGTACCTTGTGCTTATAGTTGCAGAGAGTCAAAGTCAACAAAAGTAGGCACTAAGAGAGTGGATAAGTAAAATGTGGTTGATACAATGAATGTCTATGCTCCAATGGATTTATCCTGAATGAGGCTCATAAGCATAATGTTGAATGAAAAAAGTAAGAAATCAAATAAAACTTTTAGCTAAATACCATTTCTATAAAATACAAAAATATACATGGAAAATAAGACTTTGTATCTTTGAAGGATACACATATATCTAAATAATCGTATATAAGAACCACCACCAAATGCATTAACACAGGTAACTAATCTGGGAAAAGAAACAAGATCATGGGGGGAAATCATGAAATAAATAAAAGATCTTGCACAGACCAATGATGATAAGGTTCTATAAACTGTGGAATGTGATCTCTTCTGTACATTTAAATCTTTAAAAAATATGTGCTGTCACTTACAAAATTATATATGTATGTTCCTATGCATGAATGTACTTACAGAGAGACACACACATACATATATATATGACTGGGAGTATTTACTCCAAATACTAGAGGGATTTTTGTCTGGTTATTAAAAATGATTTTAATCTTCCTCTTCACACTTTTCCTTATTTTCTAAATCTTCCTCAATAAATATTCTATAATCAGAAAAAAATAAGAATCAATACATATTTTGGGGCATTTGGGTGGCTCAGTCGGTTGTGTCCAACTCTTTGGCTCAGATCATGATCTCAGGGTCTGCACTGGGCAAGGAACCTGCTTAAGTTTCTCTCTCTCTCCCTCTGCCTCCCACCCCCTCTCTTTCTCCTCTCTCTCTCAAAAAAAAAAAAAATGCAATGCATATTTTAATTAACTGGACACATTCCTAAAGGGGAAGGCAATTTTAAGTAATTTATTCTAAATGGTTTTTAAAAATGGAGTCAGAGATTTCTTTTCTTTTCAAGAGCAATACCTATTACAATGGGAAAATCATTGAAAATTCAGGACCCTGCGTAATATCTCACTCAGAGTTTCAGGGTTACTGCTGATTGAAGTAATCATTTGCAAAATCCAGAGTTTCCACAGAGTGTTTATTTTGACAACACTCTAGGTATTCTTAGATCTCTGGGGTAGGGCTGTGTGTTAGTTAGCAACAGGAAGGAGAAAGCTTGTTTGGATTATCATGTAAACCGTTTTCATTGTGAGGAGCGACCTATTGTTTTTTCAGCCACTTGCAGCAAAGACTCTGTTTAAAAGGTGACTGATATAATGATTTCCTTCATAATCTTAATATTTCAAAGTTGTGGATCATGTTTCCAACAAACTTACATGCATAAAAATACATAACTCAGATTATAGCCGTTTATTTGCCTTTCTTTTAAAATAAGAAATAACTATTTTGCTTAAATCTCAAAAGAACTAAAGGTTCGTGTTTCTTAAAGAACTATCCTTCCAAGGAACCACCCTGCTGAGATCAAGTTTTTTCTGAGTTAAAGTAGAGTTAAAAAGTAAAGCAAACATACCCTTTAACCAAAAGATGAGTCATGTGCCTGGACACCCCAGCCTGTCCTAGCAACGGTAAATATCATTTCTTGAGACTCTGGGGCATGCGCAGAAGAAAAAAATATGAAATAAAGAGATCGAAGAAATAGGAAAGGAGATAGAAAGGAAGAACCTGCAGCTAGAGGCAAATGAGAGCATTACCCTCTGAACTGTCAGGTAAGCTACCCCGAACTGCCTTACAGACGGGTGGTTCCTGTGAGGCAAGTACATCAGAAGGTGACAGATGAGCATGAGGTAGACTTCCCTCTACACTAGAATTCTCTAAATGCTCACAAAGCCATCTTCAGTGGTTCAGTGGGATCACTAATTTTTAGAGTCCAAGAGAGCTGCACAATCGCTTCTCTTCTATGATGGCACCCCGGCCAACGGTTCTTCCTGTTTCGTTCCATGTTTCTATGAAAATTGTACGGTAATGGGTAAAATGCCCACATGTCACTGTAGATATTTCCAAAAAGGCTGGAGATGTTGAAAATTAATAAATAAGGAAATATTTGATATTATAGCAGGGTCATGGTAATAACAAAATTAGAGAAATAATTATTTGAATGAAAACTATCCTTTTAACATAAAATGATTGTTCCTCATAACAATCAAATGTTATAAAAGGAGACAATACCAACTAGTTCTTTTATTAGCATCTCCTCAAAGAAGAAGCTTTGACATTACCATCTTAATTTATAGCATTTTCCAAATCGCCTCAGAATAGGTGGAGAAGAATAGCCAGAGAAGAAATCAGAATAATTTTATAAAGGTTCTGTTCTTGCGGTTTTTGCTGTTAGCTGGAATAAAGTCCATCTATGCTTTTCAAGCTCTTGGAAGTGGAAACAGATATTGTTTGCTGAAAACTGAGAACTAGTAATCTCTTGTAATTCAGCTTCCCCCAATCATCTACATGCTGATTCAGCAAAATATTTTAAGAATTTGTTTTTTCTACAATTGAAGGAACTATTCTGGAAGAAAACGATCTCTTCAAAATCTAATAAGAAAAATAAATAAATAAACAACAACAACAACAGCACCCTCTCCTGTGTAGGCTTCCTTGTTGAAGGAGTTCTTACATGAGAAGATCCCAATTTGGGGGGCTAGAGGGTAGGGAAACTTCATTGTTCAGGAGCCTCAGCTCCTGAACCAGCCCTGAAGCCAGTGAAATACCACCCAATCTGGAGTTTGGGTCCGATGTTAAAGACACACTATTCTGTCTGAGTACAGGCTAAATTCTGTCTGGACACTCTTTGCTCACTGTCCTGTGGTTCTGTGCTGCTCAGGAAAACCAGGAAAGGTGAGTTACTTACCAGTGAACAAATATCAGCAGGCAAGTGCAGCAGGGGTCTTTAATTTTTATAATTCAAATAGACCAGGGCAGTAGCAGCGTATCTATGAATTGCATTAAAAAAGCTTGGATAAAAAGCATGGGAAGAATCTTCAGTTTCTGTCTACCCTCCCCAGACAGTGATAATGGATTCTATTCTTTGAATCTCACTCAACGCCTAGCAGTACACAATGGATACTCAAATGTATGTCAATTCCATTTTAAATTGAAGGACATTCAGTCACATGTCAATGATTTTGGTTGCTTTTATTCTAGCATTTTTCTCTAAGTTTGTAGGGAAGTTCAAAAATTTTACTGATTTATTAAGAAGAAATGCTGTCAAGTCTGAGCATATTAGAGAAACAATTTTTATATCTGATCCCATACTCTTGGTTTGAATGAAGATTTTTTTTTTTTTTTGCTGAAGTTTTTTTTTTTTTACCACAAATGTGAAACGTAAAATGACCACATTAAAATATAATCAGAAACGTACCCTCTGAAACATTTGAGGGAGCCATATTTCAGTAGGGCACTTTGGCAATACCTATTAGTATTTTAAATTTCACTTAGTCATTTGACTAAGCCATCTACTGCTAGGAACACACCCACTGATCCCATGGATATATAACAAAAGTATACTAAGATACAATACAAAGATGTTTACTGCAGTGTGTGTGTGTACTAAATGTTTAAATTAGGATAATAGTTAAATCCAATGTAATACATCCATATGGTACAAAACAATACAGCCATTAAAAGGACGAAGTAGATGTGCATCTGTCAGCAGAAATTTTCTGGTTGATTACATTATAAACCATCTTAATTTTCTTCTTCATATATCTTGATACAGTTTAGAACTTAATAAACGTTATCAAAGAAATAAGAGGTGGACTAACTAAATTACAAGTGTTTTAAAAAGAAATCTGAATCTCAAAAGGTGTAGTTTTTTATTTCAATCAACTATTACAACAAAGCTGAGATAAAGCAGTTACGCTACAAACTATCAGTCTTGCTAAAACAATGAAAGACAATTAGACAAGTTCATTTCTAAAGTCTATGAAATATCCTTAATTTGGCAGAAATTTTAAGAACAGTATTACAAAAGTGGCTGTAATTATGGACTCAAATTATGATACTCATATTTCATGAAAATCCATTTCTAAACTATTTCCTAGACTCAGTTCAAATTTATTCATTATATGCTATGCTTGCTCTCATTCTTCTAAATGCTGAAATGAATAAAACAGACAAAAGAGATCAAGCACCACCACGTTTACATTCTAATGAAGAAGAAAGAGGGAAGAGGAGATACTTATCTAAAGTATCTTATTTATTTAAAAAGTATCTTATTTATTTATCTTACTTATTTAAACTTAAGTAATAATTTATATCTCAAGAGGGGATGTATAACAAAGAAAAATAAAGCAGTGAAGGGGCATAGGAAACACTAGTGGGAAACTGCAATTTCAAATAAAATGGTCAGAGATCTGATTTTAATTGTAAGATGAAAAGTAAAGCCATATTTCTAAATTGTTTTGAATGTGAATAGCCTTATTTAATATCAAAACATATTTTTGGCTTTCACGTGATCCTTGCTTCAATTGAGGAGCCCCTAATTTTGATAAATGCGTGAGCAACAGCTACAATTAAATTTGTAACACTCTTAAGTGTTATTACTAACTTGTAAAACTAATTTTTATTGAGTGATGATTCCATGCCAAGGATTGTTCTAAGCACTGTGCATGAATTTTCTTACTGAATCCTAACAAAAGTCTTACGAAGAGGGTAGAGGTAATTGCTGTTTTATAGATAATGAAACTGACGCACAGAAATCAAGTGAATGGCGGGCCTTCTGGGTGGCTCGGCCGGTTAAGTGTCCAACTCTTGGTTTCAGCTCAGGTCATGATCTCAGGGTTGTGGGATCCAGCCCCGTGTCTGCTTGTCCCTCTCCCTCAGCCCCACCCCGCCACTCTAAAATAAGTAAATAAATCTTAAAAAAAGAAATTAAGCGATTGGCATTTTATCTCTTTACATGAAAGTTACTATATTTAACACAGCATCATTTTCTCTATATATTTAATCATGTTGCATGTTTTGTTAGAGATATAAAAATCAAAATAGCAACACCGGGGGCAGAGGTCGTTTTGCAAATTCCTTTCAACAGCTCACGGATCCTCAAGGCTCTACAGCACACAGAGGGGAATCACTGGTCAAAGTTTTCTCTGGCCTTCAGCTACATCTGGATAAGCGCTCTTGTGGCCTGGGTGGTAGAGTTCAAGGCATCTAGATGCTCCAGCAACACAATCATTAGTGTGATCAGAAATTCAATGAAGGGATGCACCTCATCCAAGAATGAGGAGTCCTGGGCACTTAGTCGTCGTGCAGTCTCAACATTACTGGCCCTCCTTAAGCCCTGATTCCCTCATCCATAAAATGAGGGAGTTTAACTTGGAGACTTCAAAGATTCATTTCAGCTCTAACTTCTATGACTCCATGGGTAGAGATAGTTGGGCATTGAACTCTCTCTTTAGCAGGCCTCTAGGATACCAGGAAACTAAATAGAGCTTCCAGAAAAATGCTCAAAATTCCTTCTCCAGTCCCTGAAAACTATGAAAAAATGCAATGTAATTGAAGGTATTGCCCACACAAAATGAGCAGTTGTTTTGAAAAGTGTAAGATTAGGGTGCCTGGGTGTCTCAGTCAGTGGAGCATCCAACTCTTGATTTCGGCTCAGGTCATGATCTCAGGTCATGAGATCAAGCCCCCCATGGAGCCTCACGCGGAGCCTGGCGATGGGCTCCATGTCAGCATGGAGTCTACTTGTCTCTCTCCCTCCCTCTGTGCTCCTCCCACCACTTGCATGCTCTCTCTCTCTCTCTCTCAATAAATCTTTTTTTAAAAAAAGAAAAGTATGAGATTATTTAAGAATTTCCATTTTGGAATGAAATATTCTACAAATGTATACTACAGTACTTTGTCTTATAGCCTATCACCAACAGTTGGGAGAAACTTACTAGAACTGCGAGTTGTAACTGTAGGAATATCCACTCTAAAAATATTTAAAAGTAGGATTTGTAGTCATGAGGATGTAAATTTATAGGTGTTAACTAGCCTTAAGGAAGGCAGGGAGATGCAAATGTTTCCTAACATCATATCTGATTTTGTAACTGAGAATGACTTGTAAAGTTTTACTCCCAACAAGCATTTGATGTGTATTATACCATTCCTCTTCAGAGCTTAGAGGCTTTCACGGCATGCCCAGATGCTCCATCTTGTATTTCATCCTCCTGAGTGCTCTGATTGACAACTGCCAACCCTGTTTCTGTGATCATTACCCATGGGGTCAGTGGTCCACCTGCTCAAAAAGCTGCAACTCTGGAACCCAAAGCAGACAGAGGTGGGTGTGAGCTATGTAGCTTGTCTTTGTGCCATGGGAAACCTCACAGACTTAGCAATATAAAAAATGCCACACTAAGCAATGAGGGGCGAGGGGAAATGTGTGTGTATGTGTGTGTATGTGTGTGTGTGTGTGTATCTCAAAGTAAGAAATCACAGAATTTGATCTGGATGTAATTTGAGGTCTTTTCCACGTAAAGTGGAAATGAAGTCTACGTTTGTTCTCTCCGTAAAATCAAGGAGCGTCAAAGAAATTTAATTAAGAATATGTGCAATATTTTCTGTTGACTATTTAACTTCCTAAGAATCACTTCTCAAGGCTTTTTTCGATCAGTGGATAACTCTGCTTGCCTACAGTTAGTGAGTTAATTATAGAGAATTTTCTACTCATTAAACTGAGTCTAACAGGACCTCAATTGAGTCTAACAGCACTATTAGCTATTAGCTTGATTGTTGGCAAGTACGAGAAGGCAAGAAAACTGTGTTTACTTGATAACATTTAATAATTCAGTCTTCTCACCGATTCAGACTACCTATCCCCCACAGTCTCTTTAAATCTGTTAGATGTTTCTGTTCCATGGAGATGCTCACATAACTTGGGAAGAAAGGCATATATTCAATGTGTTTTAATTATTATAGCTTTTTAGAGACCTATTTTAGAAAACGATTTTTACATGCGCAGTGTGAGTCTCATTAAAATCACCAACTGACTTCCTCAATAAACCATCCACCAAGGATGTAAAAGCTTTTCAGACTCCTTCACTCAAGAGTCCCTTCGTAGCTCTCCACTGCCTACCAAATAAAGCACAACAATCCATCCGGTCCCTCTCAGCCAGCACTGCCCAAGCCACAGGCTCCACCAGGGACATGTCATACTCCTACGCCTCTAATCTTGGCATACGCCTTTCCTTCCACATGCCCTTCCCTTTGATGCCTGGGGGAGTCACATGAATTTTTCAAGATGTAACTCTTCTATTATTTTCCCTTTGAATCTTTGGCCCCACAGCACTCCGACTCTGTCTCAATCATGATACTTATCAAATTATGTTGTCATATTTTAAGGAATTTTCAGGAACTTTCTTTTTTCTTCTCTTTTTCCATCTAGTCCCTTCTAGGAATTCTCTGAGGGCCAGCTTCATGGATGTGTGACCTATGCAGTCACACAGGACCACACTGAGAAGGGTTCCATGCTTGCTTGGCTTAATGCTCTGCCATTAGTGTCTTAAAATTCTTAATAATTTTTTAATAAGGGGCCCTTCATTTTCATTTTGCCCTGGGCCCCACAAATTATGAATCCAGTCCCAAGTTCCATTAAGTGGTGAGAACTGCACAGATGCCAACGTCCTGATTTTCCATGAAATTTTTCCTTTCCTTTTATTCATTGTGATTAATGTTCAATGATGTTTTTCTTATGGGGCTGGAACCACAGTGAATATATTCATTCTAAACAGCTTTCTCCTCACTATTACAGAAAAATAGTGGTTGATCAGTACTATCTGGATAACTTTTGTGACCAGCTTTGCAACAAGCCAGAGACCAGGGAATGTAACTGGCAAAGCTGTCCTATCAACTGCCTCCTGGGAGATTATGGACCGTGGTCAGACTGTGACCCTTGTGTTGAAAAACAGGTAGGTGACCCATGGGCATCTTCAGGAAACCTGAATCACAATGAGAGACCTGGATAACTTAGAAGTGCTCAATTTCTGAAAATAAAGTATTTTTTAAACTATCCCAGCTTCCAGTGAGGGAAAATTCCATTTAGCAATCTTTTTTTTTTTTTTGCAGGGGCAGGAAGAGGAGGACTTATTTACATGTTTTACTCTCATATGAGCACCAAAAGGAATTTCTGCCCCAATATTGACATTGTACTTACTGAGCTCCAAATTCCATTGCCTCTGAGACCTCAGAAAGTTCCCTTTGAGAGCTCAGAAAGTAAAAACAGATGCTAGAAAAATGGGTATGTCAGTCCAAGGTTTAAAATCAGACAGAAAGGAGGGACATTAATCAAAAGACTGACTCTTGGCCCTACCTCTAATTTCCCTCTCCCCACAGGAAAGTCCCTCGATTTGTTTATTGTTCCAAGCTGTAGTACTTACCCACGTTAGCTCATTCCTGTAAGGGCACTGGCCCACATAGACCCCAGTTACAGCAGTGCTGAGCATTCACACATTAGGGGGAAAAAAGGGAACTCATTTATGGAGCATGAGGAAAACTGTTCTAGCCCCTTTACTTACACCATCTTACTCAAACTTCACATCAGAGTGTGTTTTCCTACCCTGTTTACAGATGAGGAAGTTACAGCTCATTGGGGAGTAAGTAATTTTCCCAAGAATACACCTCTGATGAATAGAGGCGCTATATTTCTAACTTGGATTTTTCGGACTTCAAAGTCGGCACTTTTTGATCCTGCCCTATTCCTATCCTTCCCTGGCTCCCTGTTTTACTGTTCACAATTTAAAATCCTTCAAAATGTGGAGACTGTGTCTATCTTGGTTTCCATGCTGACTTCCTCATGCAGAAGAACCCCCAAATCCTCTCAAATTGATCACACTACCTTTGAGATATGAAAGTGCTACTGTGGGGCACCTGGGTGGTGCAGTTAAGTCTCTGACTCTTGGTTTCAGCTCAGGCCATGATCTCAGGGTCGTGGGCTCCGGCCCCACGTCAGGCTCTGCGCTCACAGTGTCTGCTTTGAAATTCTCGCTCCCTCTCCCTCTGCTCTTGACGCTTGTGCTCTCCCTCTTTCCCTCTCTCTAAAATAAATACATAAATCTTTAAAAGTGCTATTGTTACTACCTGGAAGATTTACTGCATACAAGATACTCAGTAAATATTTGTGCATTCAATTGAATTTATTTTCTTTTTTTTATTTTTTTAAAGATTTTATTTATTTATTTGAGAGAGAGAGAGAATGAGAGATAGAGAGCATGAGAGGGAAGAGGGTCAGAGGGAGAAGCAGACTCCCTGCTGAGCAGGGAGCCCGATGTGGGACTCGATCCCAGGACTCCAGGATCATGACCTGAGCCGAAGGCAGTCGCTTAACTAACTGAGCCACCCAGGCGCCCTGAATTTATTTTCATATGGTTTCAGAATTGGCAGTTTTAGAAATCTCTTGTCCTGCTTTCTCATTTTACGATTTGGAAAACTGAGGCCCAGAGAGGTGCTGACTTCTCTAAGGGCACACGATAATGGAATTGGAAAACTCATTAGTTAATTTAGGAAACATCACTGGAGGAAGAATCACTGCGGTGACTAAGAAGCCCAGTTTTCTTAGATACATTTTGGCTTTGACCCTGCCTCCGAGTTCCTCACCTTTCTCTCCTTTCCTTTCAGTTTAAGGTTAGATCCATCTTGCGCCCCAGTCAGTTTGGAGGACAACCATGTACTGAGCCCCTGGTGACCTTTCGACCATGCATTCCATCTAAGCTCTGCAAAATTGAAGAGGTTGACTGCAAGAATAAGTTCCGCTGTGACAGTGGTAATGTACACTAGGAGATGTTCAGTCTCCACTAAAAATAACTTGACTAAATAAAGTCATTCCAGTTGACTACCAGTAAAAGCCATGCATGACAGAGAAGTCCCACCATATGTTAAGTATGGGGAGACAGGGGTGTTATGGAACCAACTGCCAAGCTATTCATGTATGAAATTATAGCTTTGAAGCTATGATCATCTTGACCGTGTACCTGATCCATTTACTCTTCAAGTACTGGTGCCCAGGTCCTTACACTGTGATAAAGAAGGATGGAGAGAAAGCAGGAGGAAAAGGAAGACAAGGCAGATCCTCGTAAGCATTGGCTATTAATAAGTACAAATCTACAATCAGAACCAGCAGCCGAAAAGGAGTGACGGATTTAAAAGATCTTCAGTGTAGTTTATTAAGATAAGAATATTAAGATTAAGATATTACGTCAGGGGGATGACTAGAGATAATGTGACAGATTTTCTTGGGTGGTCTGTTGAATGGTTCCAAAGGTAATTCCAAAGGGACGACTGAAAATGCTTTCAATAGTAGCAACACTCCCTTCAAGTCCATTACCCACTCATTCAGATATTTAAGTTTCATTAGATTAAGAATGAACATACTACTTAATCATATGTATGCTCTTGCTAATTAATAGCTCTTCAACACCACCATTTTGAACTCTCTAAATCTGATTTCTGCAAACTTTTTCAGTAAAGGTCCAGACAGTAAATGTTTTAGGCTTTTTGGCCACATGTTCTTTGTTGCAACTACTCACCTCTGGCTCTACAGCATCAAAGCTGCCATAAGTGGCATATCAACAAGTGCGCATGGCTGTGTTCCAATCAAATTGTACTTACAAAGACAGGCAGCAGGTGAGTTTGGGCCCTACTTCCTGCCTTCAGCCACAGTGCACTGACCTCTTCTCTAAACAGTCAACTTGATGTTAAAATTGGAATTCAGATGAATAAAATCCGTATCATTTTTGTGTACTCTGGAATACAATGAAAAGTAGAGTATTGACCGCTAAGTAGCAGATCTCAAATTCCATAGAAAATTGACCCCAGACTTTAGGTCTAATGTTTCTCTCCTCTTGGTCCTTGCTTCCTGCCTTCAGCTTTGCCGACCTTTTCTGAAAGTCGGACAGGAATGCTGGTGTCAGGATTTTCCCTTGGTGGCCCCCACACCTGCAATATGGTGGCATATGGGTAGGGAGATATACTTCATGGCTACATGCATAAGGTCATGTCACAAGTTGACAAAAGAGAGAATATGAAAACCATCTTGCTGGCAATGGCTGAGTGGAATCCAGACGTCAGCATTACACCCAGAATATTAAGATAAAGGTTTAGAATTGAGGGGCAACTATTTGAAGCTTGAAGAACAGTTTTGGAACCAATTACCAGAAAGAACTCCTTTATACAATGGTTGTTAAATCTGTGAAATTTAGTACAGAAGGGTTTTCTTTGGCCAAAAGTATTCACAACTTTGAGAAGGCTTTAGATACATCCATGGCCCACCCAACCATAATGAGCGATTTCAGGAAAGCTAGTGGTGTAAGGACAAGTGATCTCTAGTTCATCAGCAATATATCCACAGCAAGTGATTAAAACAAACAAACAAAAAACCTGACTATTCAAACATATATGCAATGTTTGGTAAGCACCTGCTACCCTGAGCTCTCTTAGTGACCAGATCCCTTCACCAGGAGTCCCTAGATCTTCCCATGATCCAGCCACTAAGTGGCCGATCCCTGGCACAGATGTGGTTGGTATCCATTTTGATCAGGTGGTGCCGTGGCCTACTGATTGTTAAATATTATTGTTAAATATTGAAGATTATATACTCCTTTGCTCTTCTAAAATCACCCATTAATGCCACTCTCAAAAGGAATTAAGGTGGATGGACCATTATTTGACTGAATAGGATGTTTGGCCCTCAATTAACAAAGAACCATTTATCCTAAAGAAAGTTTCCCTCTTCCCTTTCCTCCCTCATGATTGCTGTTCTAGTTCCGCCAAAACTAAATATATGATCTTAATGCATACGTGGATCTTTGAGAATTACCCATAAGGCTAATAATCCCCACATGCACTATGCCAACTCTTCTCCCAAAGTCCTAGTTTTAAGCATAAAGACTAGAGAATTTGTAGCTCGTTATACATATACTAAACTACTGCAGTAACACAAATCAGCTCAAGTAATAGGAAAAACATGCACAATTTCTAAATGATACATAGCTCCAGATATAAGTATATAGATGCATGCATTGGCTAAAGCATGCTGACTTCTGTAAATCCTGCACTATCCGAACTGCCCTTCACCTTTCCTGTTCTTTCTTTGGTATGGGATATATTTATAGCTTGCAATATCTCTCCCCTTGTGTTTCCTATTCCATTGAGTTTCTGTGGCCTGGAACCATTCTCAGCTCTGTCCTATCAGACCTATATCACTCCTGCCACACATTCCTAAACATCACTCAGATGTCCTCTTGCTTTCATCCCTCCCTTTGCTAATAGGTCCTCTTCAATATCCCCAGAAGTACTAAATGCATAGAATTTCTTATATTCAAACATATCTGGTACCCTGCTCAAAAAGCTAGGCTAATGAGAACTATACCCTGCACGTATGTCCCTACCTCTGCCTAATAAAATGGGATTTCCTTTTTTTTTTTTTTAGTGTAACCATATCAAAACTTTATTTGCTCAAATTTATAAGTGTGAGTTTCAAAACTTTTTAAAAATGTACTATTTTTCTTTTTTTCCTTTGGAAAAAGCATCTATATTTCAAACTAAATTACACATTCTTTTCTGCCCTGAAAAAAGCAAACAAAACACCAGAGATGTGCTATTTTAAAAACAGAGCATCTTTCCAGGTTATATCTTTGGATTCACAGACATCTGATTCCCTCAATATATTCAGTCTTGTTTGATTATGGTGCTCATTACTGTAATTCTTTATAATCATGGTCCAGATACAATACAACATTTTGAATAATCAAAGAAGGAACCTTAATTACTTTCATTTTTCTCTACCTTCTTATTGAAGATTATTCACCAAAAGAGTTGAAACTAACTGCTTTCTGGGAAACTTTCTATTCATAAAAAAAATGTAATTCAACAGAATACCCAATTTCCCCAAGCAGTTCAGTTAGTCAAAATAGTTATGCATAGCTGCAGTGAGATGCTGATCACAACTTAAAGTACTTAACCAGATAATCTTGAGTAAAACATTTAATTCAATCTCCTTGTCAGTGAGATCTGTACATAATTGTACAGATGCCAGCAACTCTGATTACAGACGAGAGGCTGGGGGACAGGAGAGGGGATGTCATTGTACATAAGTCATTTCAAATTCTGTAATATATCGATTTCCATTGATTCTAAGGATCCTTATGAAATTCAGCAAATTTAAAAAGGAAGGGAATTATCCAAGTAAATGGGGTTGGCACTATTTTGTAAATTCACTCACTTAACCTGCTACCTAACACTAGTACCTAGTGGTTAAAAAAAAAAAAAAATTGTCTTTTTAACTTGTTCAAAAAACAATTAGATATAATAAATTTTATGTTCTTAAATGTAAGATAAAAAATATCACATAGCATTACTCTTAGGTGTCTGGCTTCTTTTACTTAACCGAAAATTTTATAGATACAGTGATAGTATCATGTGTACCTGTGTGTGTGTATGTATGTGTATATTAAATTATAGGGTTTTTTTTTTTTTTTAATAAAAACAGTGACCTTGGGTGCCTGGGTGACTCAGTTGGTTAAGCGACTGCCTTCGGCTCAGGTCATGATCCTAAAGTCCCGGGATCGAGTCTGGCATCGGGCTCCCTGCTCAGCAGGGAGTCTGCTTCTCCCTCCGACCCTCTTCCCTCTCGTGCTCTCTATCTCTCATTCTCTCTCTCTCAAATAAATAAATAAAACCTTTAAAAAAAAAAACAGTGACCTTGAGTTTGGTGTTCTGAATCAAAACAAAAGCCTGAACCTACTGTTGATTTTCTCCTACAGAATGTGATTTCTGCAGCAAGCTCACTGTAATGGGAATGGGATTCTAGAATTACCTCTCTTATTTAAGACAATCACCCCAATGGTGACTAAAATAAGGGGAAAATATCAGTTTGGCATCCATTTCCGTATTTCCTAAATCTGTACCAAAAATAATGAAAATTTTCACCACTCTCCTTTGAAATTTAAAGCACTTACTCGTTTCAAATCTTAAATATCTTCTCAAATAATCATGTGTTGTTAATGTCGTTTGCTTTTCTTGACCAGGCCGCTGCATTGCCAGCAAGTTAGAATGCAACGGAGAAAATGACTGTGGGGACAATTCAGATGAAAGGAACTGCGGACGAACAAAAGCAGTGTGCCTGGGGAAGAAGCAGCATATTCCCATCCCCAGCGTACAGCTGATGGGCGCTGGGTAAGTAGTGTCTCTTCATCGTTTGCAGGAGTAAAGGCATCTCGGGAGGAATGAGCCGGAAGCAGCAGTGAAGCAATGAGACACATGATTGTCCACCTTCCCCATTAACCTCTTATTACTCTCACCAGCCCTGTCTCCCACACGTGGCTGCCCTGCTCAGGCAGTGTGTGGCCATGATCCTCACTCCCATTTTCACCCTCAGTCTGTACCAGGCCATGCTAGGGGTGGTTCCTAACCACGGTTTGTTTCCATTCTCATCTATCCTTCTGACAGCTCTGGGGTGAATCAGGCAAACTGGTGCCAGGGTGGATTCATTCCTGGGGTTAGATCTTGAATGGGTGAGTAACCAATCAGAAATGCGCAGTTTCCTCATCTGTATGTTGGATGACTACAAACCGATTTGAAGTTCTGTCCTAAGAATTCTTAATTAGAGTTGATTTCTGTGAGAGTGCTTCAATATCGTCTCATCAATGTGCAGAAATGGTTTCCCTCTTTTCCTTTCCCTGGAAGAAAACCTCAGCCCAAAATCCCCACTGATAATCACATTTCCTAAGGTTCTGATTGATGAGGGGTGACATTACAAACTCACCTCTTGCTCAGTTGATCTAGACTCTAGAGTTACAGATGGGGAGGACCACATGCTATGTGTACTTTGGCAGAAGGACCGTGTGGCCCTCTGCCAACCAGAGCTGTTATCCCAAGGTTTCTCAGAAATGAGCAAAATCTGCTGGCTCGCGGACAGCCAGTCCGCTCCCCGCCTCTCCAGGGACTGAGAATTTTAAGAGCTGCTTACTGGAATCTCTTTCTAATCTGCTGGCCTTAGAATCTCTGCCCCTTCTCTAGCACATTTCTACCCAAAAAAGGTAGCCTTCTGGTTTGCTGTCCCTCTTTTTAAGTGCATCTCTCCAAGGGAGAATTTAACAAGACATACCAACATTCCTACATTGCCAGCACCAGTCACCAGGTCTTAAACCTAAAGCAAGAATCAGGCAATAACAGCATGCTCTTTGTTTTTTGTCAGCCTCCACCAAGGTACAAATGCATACACACACGTATACATACAGGCACACACATGCAAATTTGTGTGTGTGTGTGTGTGTGTGTAATTTTTAATGGAATTTTTAAAGTTATAAAATATGACACATAAAGCCAAATTAGATAAAAGAAACACTTTAAAAACTTAAATATGAAAGACCATGATGTACTTGAAAGAGCAAAATATTTAAAGTCAACTTAAGAGGGGAGGAGAAAGAATAAAGCAGAAAATTGCAACATAGTTGACTTAACCCCTAAAAGACTCCTCAGGCATGCCCTGATAGAGCCACCTCCAGAAAACTATCTTCAGGCTCTCTGCTACCTTCATAGATTCCTCATGACCTGGGAGCCATTTTTTCTCAAGCCCTTTCTTGTTTGTGACAAACTCTTAAGTACATTGTATAAAACAGTATAAGGTCAACAGTTTTTTACCTCATTGATCCCTCTCAACTCAGAAAACAAAAATGAATGAGTCTTAAAACACCTGTGTTTGTCAGGCTCCCATAAGTAGTTTGGGACGTTTTTCCCAGATCAATTCCTCATACGTTCTCTGTCAACTATCCATTGATACAAATTCAAATATGGATGAGAACAAACCTCAAATTGTGCTTGCAGCTATTTGAGTATGAGATCCATGTTACAAAACCCACAGGAATTAGGCCTTTAAAAAAAAAAACAGCTTTATTGAGGTATAATTTACATACCAGTTCTCCTCCTATGTACCTCTTTTCCTCTCACATGACCACCCTTCTCACAATGCTCTGACACCAGAAGTGGGGAGGTTTTCCCCTAAGTCAATCTCTGTGACACCAACTGGGTGTCCTACAGTTTAACTCAATTCTGACACTATCTACCTAAAGGTAGTGTCAGATGCCACAGGTTAAGGGCTCGGTCCCACAAGACCAGCCCCCCTCTGATGCTAATCACAAGTCCAAATTGTCACCTGTGATTCTGACACCCAGGAGGTTTTCAGGACCCCCTCCTCTTTGCTTTATTTGCTAGAATGGCTCACAGAACTCAGTAAAACAATTTACTTACTGTTGTTAAAAAACAAAATTCAACTGAGTAAATGAAGATCTAATTGGCTTTATTCAATGATTCGTGAATCAGGCAGATAGAAAAGAGCTCCAAGGAGCTATACAAAATGGAAGACTTTTATGGGCAGAAGGAAGCAGAGCAAGGAAATTTCTGCGAAGAGTGGAATATATCAGGCAAGGTCACCTCCCTTTGAGGGAAGGCAGGGGTTGATCAGGCAGATTACCTCACTAGTTGCTGATCAGATAATTCCACATGGCTGTTTAAAGGTCACATTCTTGGAAGAGGCAATTAAGAACTGCGATTAAGTGAGGCATTAAGGCTTGCTGACGTGAAGCTTAGCCCAAGTGACTCCATTTTGTTGTTTCTTTCTTTTTTTAAATACTGTTTACCAGTTTATTATAAAATGATGTAAAAAAGAATACAGATGAACTTCCAGTTGGGAGAGATTAAGTAAGGCAAGGTATGTGGGAAGGGGCGTGGAGCTTCCATGCCCACCCCCAGGCACACCATTCCATGTGTTTACCAACTCAGAAGCAATCTGAACCCCATAGTTGTATGATTTTTATGGAGGCTCCACCATGTAGGCATGATTGATCATTGATTCCATTTCCAGCCCCTCTCCCTTCTCTGGAGATGGGAGATAAGGCTGAATATTCTAAGCTTCTAAACATGGGTTGGTCTTTCTGGTGACCAGCCCCCCACATAGGAGCCTACCAAGAGTCACCTCATTCAAACAAAAGACACTCCTATCACCCAGGAAATTCCAAGGGATTTAGGAGCTCTGTGTCAGAAACTAGGGTCAAAGACCAAATATTAGAACAAAAGATGTTCTTAGTGCTCTTATCACTTAGGAACCTACAAGGGTTTTAGGAGCTCTGTGCCAGGAGCTGGGGAGCACAGACCATTATATATATTTTCTATTATCTTATCATATGTAAGCCAGTATTATCAAACCTTCCACAAAACTTTTTTCACAGAATACATATTAATATCTATAAGAATTTAGAAATCTATTGGAGCATCTTGGAGAAGTTTTTCATCTACCACAAAACAATTTCTTAATTTCCATAATTTCTTAAATATTTGACTTGTGCTAAGCTAATGTCCTTCAGTTTCATCATTTGTAAAATAGGTGAAATAATTGTATCTATATCTATATCACATGGTTATCATAAATATTAAATAACTATAATAGTAACATTAAATATAGATCAGACAGCTTGATATATGTATATGTATAAATGTGATATATGCATATACATATAAATATATGTATATATTTACTATATATATACAGATAGTAAATATGTATGTTATACATATGTAATGTACATAAATATACATATATTAAATATTTGTATAAAAATATACATATAGTAAATAGTATGTAAGCATTTGCTAAATAAATTTAAATATTAGTTATTAATAAAAACAATATCATTACAATTTTATTAAAATACTGCTACTACTATTTAATTATTAGCTATCAGAATTCCTTTACTGTATCACACTGAAGGAAGTGAACCCAGAATAGCACAAATTATGTAATAATTTATTTTATAATCTGCTTCTAAAGTTTGTACTGGTGTGGTAAGTCATGAAATAAAAATAAACCTAAATTTTATTTCATGTTGAAAACCCAGAACAATTAAGTGAGTGGAATACAGAGAATCTAACAGAGCCAGAGGGGCTGAGTTTTGACTTCCAGCCCTTTCCGGCTGCCACACCATAAACTAGAAAAAAATGGGCTTTTCTTCAAGTCATTTGTCATGAGTCAAAAATGTCTGAAAAAGGAATTTCTTTCATATAAGTATGGTAAATTTTAAAGATTGCTCTACATCTACTGAATTCTTGAAAATTACTTTGTTTGCAGGTATCATTTTCTAGCAGGAGAGCCCAGAGGAGAGATCCTTGATAACTCTTTCACTGGAGGAATATGTAAAACTGTCAAAAGCAGTAAAGCAAGTAATCCATACCGTGTTCCAGCCAATTTGGAAAATGTCAACTTTGAGGTATGACAGCCTATCATGGCGGCCCTCCAATGCTGATCGTGATTATAAACTAAATTTCCAATGAAAAATTATTGATGAATGTAAGGACAGAATAAGGTAATGAGCATTTTAAATCACCTATTATGGGTTGTTGTTTAATCCTTCCACAACCAGTGAGGTCAGTGTTATTATCATCCCCTTACAGATGAAAAAACAAATGTAACCAATTTGCCCATAGTCGAACAGCTTGTAAATCAGGGATTAGAGATTCAAGGTCAGGTTTCCCAAACTCCAGAGTCCATGCTTTCTCCAGTGAACATTTAGTTGTACCTTCTCCCACACAGATAAATAGTTTGCTTGATTCCAAATTTCCTCCTACCGTATTAACCACAATAGTTAGACATAAAAGAACTTCTTAAACAGACATAACTTCTTAACTTCTTAAACAGTTAGACATAAAAGAGCTTCTTAAAACATCAAGATGAAGCTAAGGGCTACAGGGGTAGTACTTCTTACCTTTCTTCCTATTTTATTAATTGATTTGGTTTTCTGTTTGTTTTCCTAAGTGTAATGAGTGATATACTACATACTCCCAGAATCTAGCCCAGTGCCTTACACATGATAAGTGCTTCAAAATTGTTCAACTAAAGTAAACAATTTATTTCTTTTCATTTATGATAAGAGAAACAGGAAAGACAGGATTTTAATAGTAACATCCAGGCATACAAATTTGACATGCTAGAGAGAATTTCAGTGAGTCTAATGGTTTCTGAGACTGCTTTATTAATTGTATAACTTCAGCAAAAGTCATTCAATCCTTCCTTTAGAAAACCTTTTACATATATATATATATATATAATCAGTTTTCCAATTTGATCATCTCAATTTAAAGCCATCTAATATGTATTAATGGGTATAGGGAATGCCCTTGGGGCCCAACTGCCAAATTCAAACACCTTCTGGGAGACTGACCTGAGAAGTCCGATCTCTGCCTGCAGATAGAAGCGACAAGGGTAACAACTGACCTCTGACCAAGTAAAGAAACTCCCCACTATCTCCCCACAGATCCAGATGCTAATTCCAGAGGGCCCACCACCACCAAGGGAGGTGGAAAAGGTCTCATTGGTATGCTAAATAGGAACTCGGTATTACATTGTTCCAAGGAAATAGTAATTCTGCAATAATAGCATTACTCTTGAGATGTATTGAATAAGCTTTGGAGACAGAGCTAACATCCAAACATTTACATATAATACAGTTATGTGGGAGGACATCTTCTAGCGCCTAAACAACCAACCCATACGCTTACTTTTAAAAATACAATATTTTTATTTGTATTCCCCCCCACCCACCAAATACTGCCTATATTCTCAGTAAGCATCTATTTCACATAGTTTTACAACTTTAACATGTTCAACTCAGCTCATGGGATGAGGGCAAATTTGGGCAAATTTGTTATCTAAACATTTTATACTTAACAGTTTTGAAAGTACTTGCTTATATTGTTTTACTCAAATTCCTTAACAATCTTCCCAGAAAAATAGAAGATTGTTTATATCCATTGTACCAATAGAAGATCCAAGTTAGACAACTTTCTCGGAGTTATGCAACAAGTAAATGGCACATCAGAATTAGAACTCCTGGCTCCTACTGCAGGGCTGCTTGAGCAAGATAAGACCTTGACAGTGATAGCAAGAAAGACATTAACAACCATGCAGCATGTGCCTTTCCTAAACTGTCGTTTAAAAGGTATTACCTGTGAGATTCACCAATGGTGTGCTAGAGCTCGCTCTTCCAGCTTACAAGAGTCAGTTGTTAAATTTTCAGGAACTTTGCAAGCCAGTTTATAAACATAGCCATTACTAAATATTAAATATATAATCTTATAACTAAATAAAAATATTAAAAACATAGGTGATAATTATCCAAAATTATCAATTCTCCATTATTTTGCTACATTTTCCCATCTATGCTCTTGAGGTTACTTACATCTATTGTATCTATGTTATGAAAATGTTATGTAATAATTTGCTACCGTACATCTCTTTCCAAGTTTGAATTAAGAGGCACCACACAAGTAGCTTGAATCAGCTATGGTAGGAATATATACACCAAAAACAAGGGCAAGTGCTACAATAAATCACAGGTTATCCCCCTCCCAGAGACTGTTGTTTTTTTTTAAGATTTTTATTTATTTAACAGGGAGAGAGACAAAGCAAGAGCACAAGTAGGCAGAGCGGCAGACAGAGGGAGAGGGAGAAGCAGGCTCCCCGCTGAGCAGGGAGCCCAATGCGGGGCTCGATCCCAGGACCCTGGGATCATGACCCGAGCCAAAGGCAGCCGCTTAACCGACTGAGCCACCCAGGCGCCCCAAGAGATTGGTTTTTAAACATTTACTAGCAGACCACTGGATCCATCCACCCAACTTGGTAACCCAAGTCTGGGTGGCTAGGTAGATCAGGAACTACAGCCCCAAAATCCTCATTCAGAATAAAAGAGAACCCTTTCATTATCAATGTTGATCAAAAATCGTCGAACCTTAAGAAGTTACCTGAGTTGATCTCTAACTATATGTTGTTGAGTTTTAGGTAATATTCAAGTGCTGAGGAAGGTGAATAACCAGATCCAAGGTCACATGAGACTGGTTGACTTTTCACTGATCTCCATATTATTTTGTTCATGCTGTTAGCAGGCAGCCGTGCAAATCTAAGCTGTACCTTAATGAAAACAATAGAGGAGGAGAAATTCAGCAGTCATCTGACTTCCCTTCTCCTATAGTACTGGAGTTCATTAAGACAGATGAAATAATGGGCTGGCTGGTACAGAAAGATGAGAGGCTCTTGAAAGGAAGGGAAGGGAAGGCAGGCATTGGATAGGAAGTCAGATTAGAAGACCATAGGAAGAATTCCGCCCCTCAGGGATCCCCCAGCTGCTAACTGCGGAGCTCAATGACCATATGATTCCAGCACCAGCCCCCGGAGTTGTACCACTTACTCAGGAATACTCCTCTCTTTTTCTAGGTGGTGCTCCTTTGCTTCTGGCTGTGTGCTAAGCATCTGCTGTCAGCAGCAAAGTGCAGAGTGTGGTTACCACTAGACTTTGATTCTTAGCAATGCATTGACCTACCTAGACATGGCCTCTTGCTGCAACCCAAAGCTATGAAAACCTTCATAGCTCTGCAATCCCTCAAATCCTCCCCAAATCCCTTGTGAAATCCACAACTTCAGGTAGTGTCTCTAACCCGCACAGCACAGGAAACCAGGTGCCACCCAGTCCTCTCCAACCCCCCAGTCCCTCTATCTCTCCTCTGCTCCTTTCTACAAACCCATCTCCTTTCTTTAAACTCCAAAAGTAAAAGTGTCAACACACATTGAGTCATAGGTCACCAGCCCACTGGATCTACAGACAGTGAGGACGGATGGGCTCAGCGATGTATGTAATGATGTGTAAATGAGGATTAAAACCGTTTCCCCAGAGTTTGGTTAACATCTCTTCCTGGGAAAATCTATACTTTCAAAAGTGGCCTTGGCTTTCTATCATGGAACAGCATACCCATCATCTCTCTCTTTCCCTCTCCCTTCCCCATATCTGCTCAGTCAACAACTTCTGTGAACTTACTTCCTAAATATCTTTCAAATGCCCTGGTTTCTCTCTACCCAACCACCACTCCCCTGGACCTGGCCATTATCCTGTCTCATGTGGCTTATTCCAACAGTTTGTGTAACTGCTCTCCTCGCCTCCACTTTATTAACTCTCGTTAACGTGATCTTTGCAAAACACAAAAATGATGGCAACACTCTCGATTTTTCATTCAATTAATATTTTTAAGGAACCTATTACATGCAAAATCTTCCTTTAGATGTCAATCCAAATACTTTCTCAGGGCATGCAAGGCCCCGCCCCAGTTTCCCAGTTCAATCTAAGTTTTCAGCCCTGCTCACCCATAAACCTGTTCCTCCACCAGGTTAATATACATGGGCAGATTTTCTCTGAGCTTCTGCCCAGGATACCTGAGCCCTCTTCCTTCCATGCTAATATTTTTTTCCTTTAAGCTGACACAGCTTTTCTTATGTAAGAGCTAATTCATAAAACAAAATATTTGTAGTTTGAGCTTTTCAAAGAAATGGTAAAGAAATGTCAGCAGCTATACTTAAATATGATCCTTTTGCTTCATTGCTGAGGAGCTTCGTTTGTGGGCCCTTTAAATGCTAACTAGCATGCACTGTAGTACCTGAAAGTAGCACTGAACTTTTGACTGTATCTTACTGTTGAGCAAGACTCTTTTGCAGCTGGGTTATTTTGTCTTTCCTTCACTAATTGTACAAGCTATTTGACTGTGGCATGCAGTTTGCCTCACAGTGCATTTTAATACTGAATATTTTAAAAACAAGAAATTTTCCCGTTGCAAACCAGACAAGCATCTTTAACATAAGGTACTCTTCAATCAATTTACTTTGCAACTTCTTTTTTTAAAATTCATCCATTGTCTCTTTTCACCAGCGTAACCATAACAGGGACTTAACTTGTACTTATCCTGCTCCACTCCCAGTTCAAGTCAAGTTCCACTGGTTGTTTTTCTTCTCTTCCCAGGCCCCCGTCAGTGAAGGCTGAGAACCACTTGCCAGGCAGAACCAATCGATTATTTGTCTGTCCCACAGACATAGCCAGTAGAGTGCCGCTGTCCAATATCTAGAGGAGGCTAAGTGGGTGGGAACGGAACCAGAGCAGGATTGCACAGGATCTGTCCTCCCCTTTTATAGGCCTCAGTTTTCTGGAAGATACCTTCAGTTAGATGCCAAGAACGTCAAATTCACAAGAATACTAAAAACAGCCCTTGTTGCTTATGCCCCTGTTCAGTCTCAGTTTAGGAGTAGTTTCCTTGATGAAGACTTAACCTGGAGTGGCCTGGGTTTTACGGGTTATTTATGCCAACCCCATTAGCAGCACCACACTTCCCACACTGACTCAAGTGTCGGTGATTGCTTTTCTGCCTAGCTAAACTATTGCCTCCCCGAGGACAGGGACGAATTTTTCCTTTATATCTAGCAAAATGCGTCTTCAACAAATATTTATTGAATGCATAAAGGAATGAAGGACCATTGCATTAGATCTTAACAAGTAGCTCTAATATTTCCTAAGTCATGTCTTATTTCATATGGATTTTCCTCCAGGTAAAAACTGAAGAAGATGATTTGGAAACAGATTTCTACAAGGACTTAATTCGTCTTACACAGAAAGACAATCAACAAGATTCTTTTTCGAGGGAAGGGCACAGCAGTTTTCATATACCAATTTTTTATTCCTCAAAGAAAACTCAAAGCACCACCCATAACTCTGCCTTCAAACAAGCCATTGAAGCCTCCCACAGAAAGGTAATCAAAATGGTTCCCAATCTGTTTATTCTTTTTGAAAAATTAATGCCAATTCCAGCAATCACGCAATGAGAAGGGGAGAGTTTTTTTACATCAAATCAGTAGGGTTTCTAACACAAATTTAAATAGATGTACCTTGTTATATCCAATTTCAGAAGTTATAGAGGTAATACATATAATGATGCATATATTTGGCTGTATTTATGGTTGTGTTCTCTTTAGGTTTTCTTTGTCTTCCTGTTTTAGGTGTATTTTTTATAAACCACATGTAACAGACCTTTGCTTTTTAAACATAAACTGACTGACCTTTGCTAGGGACATTTTGCCTTCTTTGATTTAATATACCCACTGAAATACTTGATCATATTTCTTCCATTTTTAATTTTTCTTACTCATTTTTTTTTGTTGCTGTTTCCTATTTCTTTACTTTTGCTGTCTTTGTCACATTGCTGTTTACTGCTTTTTGTCCTTTTGGTCATTTTGGAAGTGCTACTGAACTTTTAAATTCTGCTTGTGGTTATCTTTCTTTAATTATCAAGCATAATTAAACCTATGTTTTTCTTTTATCACACGATGGGGGCTATATTATTTCTCTAGCCCCCAAAAGATGTTTTACTTCTCTACACCTCACCCCTACTATCTCCTTGAGAACATATCTACCTTTCTGGTCCTCCACCACTATCATTACAGGCCTCCAAAACCTCAGTTTTACTGAGATAGTTCAAAACCTTTGTGTTCCCTTCCTTAGGATTGTTTTGTGTTCATTTTTATATTACACATGTTAGTTTGTATTTTATTCTGACTCTTGTCTTCTCTATTTAAAGATTCCTCACATAACACTTATAAATTCCAAGTTCATAGTCTGTATTTTACATTTGTGTTATACATTTACTCCCTAAATCCTTATATATCTAAAATGCCTACATTTTCCCTGAGCAATAAAGGAATATCTTGGCCAAATATAGGAATATTGGATCATAGTCTTCTTTTCTTGGTAGTTGATGGATGCTATTCCACTATCTTCTACTTTTCATTGTTGCATAGGAAAAATCACATGCAGAGCTCATTTTCTTTCTTTTATTTTCTCTGTCTGGAAATGTATAACTTTATTGTTGTTGTTTAGAATTTAGGTTGTATCCAAGTATTAGACTTCTTCCATTAATCTTGCCAGGAACCAGTGAAATTCTTTCAATATGTAAAGATACATCTTCATCCATTAACCTTTCTTCTTCTGTTCCTTTTTCTTTTATTATTCGTATATGAAAACTCCTGGATGTGTTTTCCAATTTAGGGGACAGATTGCTATTAGACATTTTTAGACATTTACAAATGTCTTTTAAAATAGTATCTATTCCTCACGACAACCACCACTGTGTACTATTTGTTTTTTCCAAAGAGATGAATGGGAAGACTGAGCCCTGAATCACAGAACTGAGGGGAGAGGTGAAAAGAGTTGCCAACACTGGAGCAGATGGGACCAGCAGCCGGAGGGCACCATTTTGTGGTTCTTCCTGCCTTTACCACAGCTCCTCTCGTATTTTTATTTATTCCCTCATTCATACATTTACATAAATAAGAGATTTTATAGCACTTTATTGGCAATTTCCCAGGCATTTCATATATCTTCAAAAGACCGCCGAAAGGGAATCAGAGTAGATATTTTTAATAACATTTTACAGATGAGTAAATTAAAGCCCATACATTTATTTTTAATGCAAGAAATATTTATCTAGTATCCACCATGTGTCAAGTACTACACTAAAGTCCACAAAGCTAGGTGGTTCCTGTGATCTTACAGTGAGTAAATGCCAGAGTTGGGCATTGAAATCAGTTTGTCTGATTTTTGCCCACTCTTCCTATCTACTACATTACACTTCAAGCTATCTGTTTATTCATTCATTCATTCATTCATTCATTTATCCATAATTTCAACAAACTGTGAAAAGAGTAGAGCTCTGGTGATATGAACACATAAAAGAAAGAAGAGAGAATAAAATAGATTCTTTTTATAACATAAATTGTTAGTGTGCTTTAGAATGGGCTATAGGTAGCATAGTGTCCTTCAAACTTACCAAATTATATTCTTTTTCCTTTAATTTTTTATTTTAACTCCGGTTAGTTAACATACAGTATTATATTTGTTTCAGGTGTACAATATAGTGATTCAGCACTTCCATACATTACCTGGTGCTCATCACAAGTGCCCTCCTTCATCCCTGTCACCCATTTCACCCATCCCATTCCCCACCCACCCATCCCATCCCCCACGACCATAAGTTTGTTCTCCATAATTGAGTCCGATTTTTGATTTGTCTCTTTTCTCCCTTTGCTCATTTGTTTCATTTCTTAAATTTCACATATGAGTGAGATCATACAGTATTTGTCTTTCTCTGACTGACTTATTTCACTTAGCGTTATACTCTTCTAGTTCCTTCCATGTCATTGCAAATGGCAAGATTTCATTCTTTTTTATGGTTGAGTAATGCAAATTGTATTTTTTCTCTTCCAAGATTTCATTTAAATTCAAGTTAGTTAACATATAGTATAGTATTGGTTTTGAGAGTAGAATATAGTGAGTCATCACTTACATATAATATCCAATGCTCATCACAACATATGCCCTCCTTAATGCCCATCACCCATTTACCCCATTCCCCCCACACACACAAATTATATGTTAAAACAAGTTGGAATCAGAATTACTAGGAAGTAAACATATACATTTCATGGCCCTTCTCTTCACCTACTGATTCTGAATATCTGTAGTTGGGCATGTGATTCTGTTTTGTTTTTCCCCCAGCTTGCTCTAATGTCATATTCAGGATTGGAAACAACTGCTTAAAAATATAGTCTATGATGAGCAGGGAAATGGAGATGTTCAAAGAGACATAGATATACACATCAGTTTCAATGTTAAGATTTGCTTCACAGAATGGTTTATAAATATTTCAGACATGCTAGAGATCACTCGTAAAACCCTTATCTGTGGATAAACAGCTGTTATTTGACCCTCTAATAGTCTGCCCCAAAGTGGAAACATTTTAGGCTATTCACAGTATCTGTTGGAACTTATGAAACTGCTGATATACAACCATTTTTTAACTTACAAAATTGTCAACTTCATCAGGTTGATCTTCAACATCTTTGATCAGATCTCCACAGAATGAGGAAATCTCAGGTTAAGTAAAAAATGCTGCTGCAACCTTTCTTAGTCTTCAAATAATGAAAACAAGGCACCCCACACTTGAAAATCAATCCAAGCCCTTCAGTGGAGCTTAATGCTTTACTTATTTATTATGTCAATTTCAGATCTGACTAAACATTTTTTGGGCAGATAATCTATTTCAAAGTCAAAATACTAGTTTTCTTGGTAAGATTCAATGCTTTTCTGAATTACTTTATGATGTTGAACCCACAAAAAGGTGGTAAAAATAAAGCAAGATCTCACAGAATGTTGAAATAGATCATACATGGTTAAAAATCTACTGTCATGTCGTTTTTAGTCTAAAATAGCCAGTTTTAGCCATCGTGCACTTGATCAGTGTGTGTACATGTGCTGAGTTGAGTCACCAAGGTTTTATATGTATTTTTTACAATTTAGTTTGTAAACAGCCTGGAAATTTTGAGCCATCCATTTCAATGCCTGTGTCCAAACAGGCATTTCAGATACTCTGGAAGTGAGTGTGCTTCTTACTAAAAGTAGAATGTCCATCCATCTTTCCAAAGCCATGGTTCTATGACAAAATTCAAGTATTAAACTTGAAAAAAATTAATGGACACTGAAAATGTAAGCTCCTCAAAGGGATGAACTTTGTTCATCCCTTGTTCATGTCTGTTTCCACAGCATCTGAGGTAGCTGAGCAATAAATGTGTTAAAGGCAAGAAGGTGGCAGGGGTGGGAAAAGGTAGGGGAGAAAGACAGGAAGAGAGAACGAGAAGTGTGAATGGTGACTCTTTACAATCCTTGTGATTATTTCTTGTCTTTTGTGTTAGCAGCCATTTTATGGTATAATTATAGCACACAGGAAAATAGCTATTAAATAATTTACAGCTACGATAAAGTTCTTTTGCTAAAATATGCTCCTCTCTCTGCTATTACTCAAACCCTACAATTTGCTAAAATTGAGAGGTAGATAAAGTATATAAATTTTTTTAAAAGAACAGTATATGTTAAAAACTCAGTGAATATGTAGAAGGACAATTTAATGGAATGAGATTTGGGTATAATACCAACCACCAAATCATAATTTAACCTGACATAACAAGAAATGATTAAAAAAAAAGAAAACCCAAAAGCCCTCAAACAAATATTCCTATTTATGGGTAGAGGAGAGAGAGTATAAATAATGTTTAATTTTAACCCATAAGTAAATTTGAATGATAACATTTTAGAGTTGAAAAGCAGTGTGGTATGTCATCCACTGCACAGCCCTCACCTGTGCCCCAGATGACATTTCACAGACACCTCAGTCCTCAGAAATATAAATGCCTTTTCCCAGTTTGGGATAAAGCTGTGACTTGAATCTCAGCTGCATAGCTTTCAAGTAAAAATTTATGCAATCCTTTTTCAATGTTTTGCATTAGCAAGGCTTTCTAAATAAACACTCAGTAGGGACACAATCATGATTGACACTCAAGAATGAAAGATTTACTTTTCTAATCATTGATCTCTTTTTGGTAGATCTTGTCAACCTCTGAGAGTCGGGGACCTCGGGCGGCAAAGGAACTGAGAAAAAGAGACGACAGTATAGTGAGGCACAGGGGACCCCGAGCTCACAGCCCGAGGTGCCAACGTTTGTTTTCCATAGTCTAATATACCTTCTACAATGACATAGGTCTATAATGACTTACAGCAGGGGCTTAGTAAGGCACATTCTTCCAGGTACGCAGGGTTAGTTAAGCGAAGCAGTGGGAATGGAGAAGGAGTAAAGAAACCTGTAACTGGCTGTGATCAATTAATGGTAAACGCCATTGTACTTGGACCTTAACACAGGATAAGAGAACAGAGAAGAGAATGCATGGTGTGCTGTTTACAGCTGGCTTCCTATCTACAAAACATCTTCTGCTGTGTACTTTAGAACAGACCACACACATCCCAAGGGCATTTCACTCTGATCCTTTCGGGTTATTTTTAACCCTGCAATCTCGAGTTTTCGCAGAAGATCTTGGAGTCTGAACGAATATGCACCAGTGGTCATTGTGGCGTTCTGTTTCCCGCAGATCTGTCTACAAAACCTAGGCCTAGGTCACACAGTTCACATTGCTGAGATAATCTTATCTGTTCAGCACTATGAACATCTCAGGAAAAAGTCCTGGGAAATACAACAAAAATTCTAATTTTGTGTGTGAGAGCATGCCACGGAGAGTTAAAGTTGTTAGCATGCTATGGTTAGGATGAAGCTGGTGATGAATAGATGACATTTAAAAGCTTGACACTTCAAACTTCCATTCCTTTTAATCATCTTGGTTTTTTTTTTCTTTTTTTCTTTTTTTCTTCTTTTCTCCTCTTCCATTTAGGATTCTAGTTTTACTAGGATCCATAAAGTGATAAAAGTCTTAAACTTCACAATGAAGACTAAAGATCTGCAGCTTTCTGATGTCTTTTTGAAAGCACTTAACCACCTGCCTCTAGAATACAACTTTGCTTTGTATAGCCGGATATTCGATGACTTTGGGACTCACTATTTCACCTCTGGCTCCCTGGGTGGCATGTATGACCTCCTCTACCAGTTTAGCGTCGAGGAACTCAGGAACTCAGGTAGGCTTTTTGCAGCCCTCCCTTTTTTTTTCAACTTGATTCGATTGCCTGCAATTCATTTTTCTCTTACTCTATTATTTTAATTCTTCCTTATCGACTTTTAGACTTTGCTTTATTTCCAAAATGATATGAAGAACAACCAAAAGGTATACACTCAAGCAAATAAAATAAAAATAGAAAATTAGAACAAAAAAGAAAAAAAGAAATATACTTAACCTCTTTGATTGGACATTAGGTTTGTTTCTGAATTTCCTGACACCTGGGAACATCATAAGCTACACAGTAGTGATAACCTAAAACAGAGATACATGCTATTATCTCAAGAAAAAATGAAATTTGTCCTGGAATTAAACTCTAAAAGACAATTTACTTATAGCATTTTTATAGGAGATAATAATTTTATAGAAAAATAATTATAGGAAATTCACTAGCAGTCTTTTAATGATTTTTAAGTAAAAGCCAAAGACATAAGATAAAAGAACAATTAAGGACTTGACACTTATATACACTTTGTAGTGTATATATTCAACTAAATATACTTCTATATTTAATATTCATATATGTAATACATATTCTTATATTCAATAAGTATATATATAGGGGCGCCTGGGTGGCTCAGTTGGTTAAGCAACTGCCTTCGGCTCAGGTCATGATCCTGGAGTCCCAGGATCGAGTCCCACATCGGGCTCCCTGCTCAGCGGGGAGTCTGCTTCTCCCTCTGACCCTCTCCTATCTCATGCTCTCTATCTCTCATTCTCTCTCTCTCTCAAATAAATAAATAAAATCTTTAAAAAAAAATAAGTATATATACACATATATATTTCTCTGTGTCACAATAATAATACTGGTACACAATTTTAATTGTGTTTAAGATGAAGCACACCCAGACAGAAACAAATCTTAATAAAACGGAATTCTCCAGTGGGTATGCTTACCTGTTTTTGCCCACTCTCTAGATGAATACATATTCTGGCCTCCTTCTCTCTCCTTTCCATTTCTTCTTTCTTTGTTTAACCGTAAGACAGAACTAGAGTACAGGCTTAGGTTTTATTTGCTTTATTCAATAAGAATTGTATCCCTTGTCCTTAATTTCAAAAACGACTGGACTATTTTGTAGTATCTTTTCTCCCTCAAGAAGAGGAAAACAAAATTAAATTGCTTTTTATTTGCATCCTTCATTTATTCCTCTATTGTTCAATGTCCCATAATCAATTTAAAAGCTTGAATAAAAGTTGACATTGCTTCAGTGTGCTAGGTGAAAAGAATTTCAGAAATACAGCAAAAACATTAAACAATTAAAATATTGTAATATGCAAGATGGTAATTTTATTTTATTTTTATTTTTTTTATTTTTTATTTGACAGAGAGAGAGAGAGTACAAACAGGGGGAGCGGCAGGCAGAGACAGAGGGAGAGGGAGAAGCAAGCTCCCTGCTCAGCAGGGAGCCCGATGTGGGGCTCCATCCTAGGACCCCGGGATCATGACCTGAGCCAAAGGCAGATGCTTAACTGTCTGAGCCACCCAGGCACCCTGCAAGATGGCAATTTTAAACTCCTTTTGTTGAGAAGTCATTTCTGACTCTAAACTAGAGAACAATTACAGGCCCCCCATTTATCCATATGACATTTTTGACTAACACTGTTTTCCTTTGCCCCATCAGAGTAGCTGAGGACATTTCTGAAATACTTGTCCCTGTGCTACATCAGAGGGACACTCAGGTTTGAGAGGCCAAGTGCTGCAGCATCCAGCAACTGGGTAGAGGTCAGACAGCAAGCTACAGGAAATGCAGGCGAAGAAACACTTATACAGAAATTCACTGATAAAGCCTTGATATTTTAATCACTGCATGACTGGCACTGTGGCTCATAAGAGGGATTCATCATTCAAATCTTCCAAGATTCTCCATTAGCCCTCAGAAAATGAAATTAACTAAGTTGATAGTCAATTAATTATGTTATAGTTAATAAATTGGACACATAAAATTTAATTTTCATTTATAAATAATAAAAACCTAATGAGAAAATTTAAAAAGGATGGGGAACTATGCACTATAGATGCATCAAATTCCTAACATGGCCTAAACATTTGACTGACCTACTTGTTAGAACATTACCAGAAGAAAATGACTCATTTATTCAGCCTCACCAAAAAAGAAAACCAGGCCTTTTCTTTTTTTTTTTTTTTTTTTGGTTAGAGTTACAAATGCATGGGAAACTTGTAAACATGAGGGCTTCAAACTAAGAATTTTTCACTGCCACTTATACTGCATCTCTTCAAATGTGTCAAACTATTGGAAATACTGTGAAGTAGGCAGACCCCATCCCCTTCTACTTGGCCTCATTTCTCAGTGATCTGTGCCTTTAGAATTCAATTTCAACGTCACACCCAAACTGTGCCTCAAACTCTAAAAACACTCCTCTGCTGATTGTAATCTACAACCCTAAATATCAGGATTTGATGAACTACTTTGCTTTAAGGTGCTTTAGGAGCTGATACAGCTCCATCTCTTGTGTGCCTGTGTTCTGCGAGGCAGTTTTTAACTAACAATCAAAAACTGAACTCTTGTGTTAACTATACTTCTATTTAAATAAATTCCATTAAAAACAAAAACCAAAATCTGGATTCTAATTTTGGTGTTTGAGGTAGCAGGTCAGGAGGCCTAGGAAGCTGTTAAGAAAAAGGAAACGTTGATTCTCTTCAAATTACCCCAGATAGGCAGCACCAACTCAGCCTACAAATAGCCAGACCTGTTCCCCTGCACTGTGTCGCATCGATTTTGAAGTCATCGAGAATACAGGCAAGGGTGGGAGTGGGAAAGAGCGACTCAGAGGCCAAATTCTTCAACAAATGGTGCTTGGAGGTTTGGTAAAAGGCAAGAACAACGAGGACTAAAGACGTTAGAACCGAATGGCCTGAGCCTTGGAGCACCAGGGTTTTGACAAGACTTCGCATCCTGTGGCAGCACTGGGAACCGAGGAGGATATCAACGCCAGCTCTCCAGGGCTGGGAATGAAGCAGTATCCACCTCCCTCAGAGACAACAGGAGAAACAAGGAGTACAGGCTTGAATGAAGATAAGGAAGAGAAGAGTCAGTGAGGACACTAAGAAGAGTTCATAGGTCAGCAAGTCAGAATTTCTGAGAGAAAATAAAAGGGTTTTGGAGGTACAGGTGGAATGAGCAGCTAAGTCAGGGAGACAAGTATGAGGATGAGTGTTCAGGGAAGGAGGGATAAGCAACAGGATTTCCATTTTAAGTGATGACCGGGGGATAAGCAAGGTGGACTCAGGCCTCACAGAATCAGCTGTGGCCCAGAAAGAAGGCCTGACAGGGGCACCACATAGAACATGTGTTCATCTCTTCATCTGCAGGGTGATAGAGTGGCTGTGGCCAGTAGGACGGGCAAGCTTTGAGGCTCCTTGTGGGTCGGCAACAGGGAGAGGCCAACATGAGCCCCATGGGATGGGAAACAGCCACCTTATATTTGCTTCTTAGGGCCAGTGCTGAAGGGAGAGACAGCAGGGACTCTTAGATACTTCCTCTGTTCAGGATCATCCCAGGGCCTGTGAAGGACTGAATCTGGAGGTGAAAGCTGTTCATCATTCCAGCTTACAGGAACTGGAGAAGGCGGAAGCTGATATAGAGTATCTGTAGCTCCCCAGTGCCCAGAGCTTCACGCCCCTCTTCTCTGAGTTGTCAGTGGTACATTCTTAGGATGTTTTGTCTGCACTCCATTTCCTAGGTTTAACGGAGGAAGAAATCCGAAACTGTATCCGGATTGAAACAAAGAAACGCCTCTTTGGTTTTAAGAAAACGAAAGTGGAACACCGGTGCACCACTAACAGGATGTCTGAGAAATACGAAGGTAGGAGTACCTACTCTCTCCTAGCAGCTCACCCTGTCCACAAGGGGCTGTGGTTGGAGTACCATAGTACACGTGACTGTGCTATTTTTAACTTTCCTTTATTTCATTTATCTACCTCAGAGCCCTCTGTGTGGTGGGAGGGGAGGGTGAAAATAAAATATCATTAGCACTACTTACAAGGGAAAGAGTTAAGGTTTTCTTGATCTTATACTTAGGTTGTTTAACATTTATCGATTCTTCCCATGGACCGAACTCAGTATTAGACATTGTGATGTAAAGATGGGTGTCAAACAGGCCTTCCTATCAAGGAGCCTACAAACTACACACATAAATAACCATTAAAAATACAGACTGGTAAGAGTCTAAGAGAAGGGGCACCTGGGTGGCTCAGTCATTAAGTGTCTGCCTTTGGCTCAGGTCATGATCCCAGGGTCCTGGGATCCAGCCCCGCATCAGGCTCCCTGCTCCATGGGGAGCCTGCTTCTCCCCTTCCCACTCCCCCTGCTTGTGTTCCCTCTCTTGCTGTCTCTCTCTGTCAAATAAATAAATAATATCTTAAAAAAAAAAAAAGAGTCTAAGAGAATAAGCCTAAGTAAATAAGTAAATAAGGCTCCAGCAACCACACCAGAAACCTTAGTGTTGGCTTAATTTCACCCTCTTTCTAGCCCCCATATCCAATAAGTGATCCCTCTACATCCTTGATATTTCTCCCAGTTACCCCCATCTTTTCATTTCCATGGGCATGTACTCTGTTCATTATTTCCAACCCGGATTACCACAGTAGCCTCCTAACTGGTCCCCTTGCCTTCCTGATGCCTTCTGCCAACCTGTTCTACACATTTCCTGTGACGGGAAACTTTTCCAAGGCAAACCTTATCGTGCAGTTCTCATGCCTTAAACATGTCATGGTTTCACATAACCTTAAAGATAAATTCCTGCCTCTCTCTCTCTCTCTCTCTCTCTCTGCCTAGCTAAACCAAATAGTCTCCTAAATAAGTCATGCTTTCTCTTGTGCCTTGCCATTATAAATAACTCCTTCCTCTGGGTAAAGTTCTCTTGTTCCCTGACTTTGCCTGACTGATGGCTACTCATCCTGCTAACAATGAGGGGTTGTGCAGAATCACAGAAACTCCTAAAATATGAAGCTTATATTCTCCTGGGGAGACAGACAACAAACAGAAAAAAATATTTACTATAATAATAAACTGATAATTTTGAATATCAGACCATATAGATGATCTACATGTATATGCCCATGTTAAGCATAAGCAAAATAAGCATTGGTTTGACAACTATGCGTTCATATTATAGCAAAAAAGAAGAAAAAAGGAAAAAAAGAACATGCAAAACAGATGAATAATCTAGTAATATAAAACCAAAGAATGGATATAGATTCTTTTTTTTCTTTATTTTACGATGTTATGTTAATCACCCTACATTACATCATTTGTTTTTGATGTAGTGTTCCATGATTCATTGTTTGCTTATAACACCCAGTGCTCCATTCAATACGTGCCCTATTTAATACCCATCACCAGACTAACCCATCCCCCCACCCCCTCCCCTCTAGAACCCTCAGTTTGTTTCTCAGAGTCCATAGTCTCTCATGGTTCATATCCCCCTCTGATTTCCCCCCTTCATTTTTCCCTTCCTACTATCTTCTTCTTCTTCTTCTTTTTTTTTTTTAACATATAATGTATTATTTGTTTCAGAGGTACAGATCTGTGATTCAACAGTCTTACGCAATTCACAGCGCTCATCATAGCACATACCCTCCCCAATGTCTATCACCCAGCCTATACCAGTTTTTCATGTAATAAATTAAACAACAAGGTGAATTCAATAAATCAAGTGCCCAGAGACAAAAAGATTATGAGAATTAATTGAAAAGGCAAATTTCAAAGCTAAGGTACGAAGACAAAGAAACATTGAAAAATATCACCATCATAGTTCTAAATAAATTAGATACTGCAAGAACAAAATATAATTGCCTGAAAATAAAACCAAGAAAGCTAATCACATATAGGAAGGATTTAAAGTAATTCATAATAAATGCAGAGAAAAATTTAGGTATTAACAGTTATTAAGGAAAATCTAATGGAAATGGAATGACAAATATAACTTAATCTGTGGGAATTTGTGTTCCTGAAATAGAGATCTGAAAAAAAACAAAGAGGAAAACTGTTAAGAAAAAAAAAAAACACAACTATGTATGAATATATCCCTAAAATAAAGGAACAAATTTGTTTTGATTATATGCATCAGAAATATTGTTCAAGTATATAACTTCAAGACAAAACCTAATTAATTTACTAAATACAAAGATTTTAAAAATGAATTCTTCAATTATCTTGCCTGAAAGACCAAGTCTCCCACAGAACAACAAAAACAACAAAATCTGTCTGTCCTCAGACTTCTCCATAACTAAATTCAATGCCATAAAACAATAATGTCCACAAGTTTCTGAGAGAGGGAAAAAAAGTAATTTCCTATATAAAGGTAACAGGAAGACATCTCAAAACATGAAAGAATTCTGAGAATATACATTCTTGAGTACTTATTGAAAAAAAAAACTGCTCAATTATCAATTACAAAATTCATCCAACAAAGAGATGAGAAAATGTCAAATATGGACCCACAGTTTTCAGCTTGTAGGAATAAGGTGAGATCAGAAACCATTACGATGGCCGCCACACTGGTTTATCAATTACCCATTGCTACCCAGGTGACACATTGCTAATACTCCTGAATTGTGTGAACTCTCCAACTCAAAATGAAATGTTTCTAAGGAATGTAGTCATTTCTAAACCCAGAGAATGAAGTCCAGTCTCCTTGGCTTTCCAACCAGATCCTCTCTGTTTTGTGCTCTTCCCCTACCTGAACTTCCAACTTCAACTCAAGCGGATGTCCATGGGCACTGTCTCCAGAACATGGCACCATCCGCCCCTCACTCCAGGTCTTTGCCCATTCTGGGAAGGCATTGCCCCCTACCATATCTTAGCTTTGCCTCAGAGTCCTTTCATAGTCCCTCCCTAAGTGCCTAAGATCGCAGAATTCTTCCATGGACCTAACTCAGGAATCTTGAATTGCTGTACCACTCTGTAACATTAAGCCAAACTGTTTTGTTGGTCTTTTTGTGCACATTTCTTTCCCTTCCCTACCCACCCTTCTTATCTTCCTTCCTTTCTTATTTCTCTATAGTTTTGCTAATAAATTTATGTACCTATTTTGTCTCCTTATTGAGAGTCTAAGTCCTTCAAATACAAAAGGCATATTTTACATTTCTCTCAGTCTTCAACCAGGCATATAGCAGATTTTCAACAAATGCTCATTAATCATGATGAAAATTTGCTTAAAATCAAAGCACATTTAAGAGTAAAACACACACGGGGCGCCTGGGTGGCTCAGTTGGTTAAGCGACTGCCTTTGGCTCAGGTCATGATCCTGGAGTCCCAGGATCGAGTCCCACATCGGGCTCCCTGCTCAGCAGGGAGTCTGCTTCTCCCTCCGACCCTCTTCCTTCTCGTGCTGTCTATCTCTCATTCTCTCTCTCACAAATAAATAAATAAAATCTTTAAAAAAAAAAAGAGTAAAACACACACGAAAACATAATTTTTCTATGTCTAATCCTGAGCTCATTTGACTAAATCACTGGACTCCAAACTTTTTAAATCTATAATGATATCATTAAAATTTTTTTACTATACATCCCTAATATACTTACTAAAAAATACTAACGAACTTTATAAATGTAGTATTCTAAAAATATATTATGCACAAAAATATATATAAATGTGGAAAAGAGAAAATTTTGAAAGATAGCCTATATGAAATAAAATTTTTCATTGTCATGCTCATATTATAGTGAAAAATTAATATTTCATTAAAAACTCCTTGAAATTTTTGATGTGTTTTGGGCAGCTTTGGTGTCAGTCTCATGTTGTGGCTTACGAGAAGCTTGTGTAAGAAGTAGAAACATCTGTTCTTCCTTCTACTAGTTGGTTTTGCTTATGTTTGCACTATTGGTATTGTCTTCAATATGCATTTTCTTCCTGGAATCCTTTTAAAACACTTGTTCACTTGCAAGAGTTAGTTCTGTTCCAGCAGTAAACGGACTTAATGCTCACTCCTTCTTCAGGATCCCATGCTTATCATATTAACTCGTACTGGTGTCAACCCATTCATGAAATACATGGTGTCAAGCCAAATGTGAACTAGCATGTCAGAGCTACTGACCACTGGTACATGATATATTGGCAAATACTAATTTCTCTCCTTTTTTATATGAAAAATAAATACAAAAACCTCTAAAATGTTTTCTTATACCCCTCTGTGTTATCTTTTGCAACCTCACTTTGAAAGGGGTATACTACTTTCTTCACAGAGAGAGTATTTCACCCATTGTGCTGATCATTCTAGACTCTTACTATAGAATTTCTAAACAGTGGCAGCATGGCTAATCCATACTGCAGAATAGACACCAAATTAATGCCATTAACTCTCACCCATATCACTAGCCTCCTCTTCATTTGCTTTTATTTCTCACTATGATTTTCTATTACTCAGCTTCTACCCTTATTAGTTAAAGACATCATTAGTTCATAGGAATTTTTTTTTGAAATTTTGTATAAAAGATCTGTGCTGTGTACGTTAAATGTCATTGCTTCTAAAGAAACATTATGCCAACTCTTAACCTGAGGTTTAACTTTTTCTTTCTCTTTGTTAGTTGTGCTTTTGCACCTGTCTTTAAGCTTAAAAGCATTCTATCAACTTTCTACTCTAAATGGAATCTCCAGCCTGGCAGTCAACTGATTGGATATCACAAACCAGGTGATCTGTGTTATTCTGAAGGCCCAAGACATATGCTGATATACATCAAAAGTGGGAGCTTTGGTATCCAAGAGCAGGGAGCCGAGTAGCCTGGACTTGGGCTGCATTTACACCCCAGCCTCCTCCCCCCACCCCACCCCCAGTTACCTGTGCCTGTGTTCCAGGCTAAATTACCTCTAGTTTCAGTGCCCGTGTTTATAATAATACCTACTTCTCAAGATTGTTGTGAGAATAACTTAAGGCAATCAGTACAAAGTGCCTAGCATATACAAGTTGCTTAATAAATGGTAACTGCTAACACTGTTATCATCTCTATTACTAAACTCCCTGTAGGGATGAGGAGGAGTGTTCTCTTGCTTTTCACTAACTTATTCAATGGAGCTACATGACTACCATCTACTTCTCCTCCTGTGCGAATAGGCTTTTCTTGAAAGTTTGAATGTGCAGTAAAGTTAAAGGAATCATTTTCTTGAAATACCTTGCAGGTTCAGTTTTGCAGGGAGCAGAGAAATCCATATCCCTGACTCGAGGCGGGAGCAGTAAGTACGCCGCTGCCTTGGTGTGGGAGAAGGGGAACTCGAGTCCTGCGGAGAAGGAATTTTCCGAGTGGTTAGAATCAGTGAAGGAAAATCCCACTGTGATTGACTTTGAGGTAAGAGTCAGAAGTATTATGGGTAAGAGAGCTAAAGTCGTTCTCTAGCAGCCCAAATTGCACACCATGCAATTCCTTTTCCATTTTCCTCGCAGATGATAAAGGAAAAGTCTTTCTTTAGTGTGCATGCACGATGTATCTTTTTAAAAATGTTAAATTACACATCAATTGCAGTTGCTATTCAAATGAGCATCCTCTGGTACAGTATTTAGAAATCTTAGTATACATAAAATACCAGGAAGGGGAATTTCGTTTTTTTAAGATTTTATTTATTTATTTGACAGAGAGAGCACAAGCAGGGGGAGTGGCAGGCAGAGGGAGAGGGAGAAGCAGGCTCTCCACCTAGCGGGGAGCCCTATGCAGGACTCGATCCCAGAACCCTGGCATCCTGACCTGAGCCGAAGACAGATGCTTAACCGAATGAGCCACACAGGCACCCCCAGGAAGGGGAATTTAGTAAATACAACTCTTCAAACTTGCCTTAAGTAGTGCTCTTCAGCTCCCCATCTATACAATAAATCTGATTTGTGTACTTTTCTTACAACTTTTTATTTCATGAGCACGCCTAAATCCTCATTTATAGCTCTGTGGGATAAACGGGATCTTAGACCCATTTGGCTCTCTGTTTCTATCACCATTGATTAAAATTACCTGTCCTGTATTTGTTGTAATTACATAAAAGGGTGATTTTTATTATTTATGGAATACTTTGCCCACATATCAGTCATATGCCATTTAGAACCAGTTTTGACTAAAACATAAGCACATTTTTAAAGCCTTCAAAGAAGCTATTCTGCTCATTTCATTTAAATGAAGATAAAGGAGTTCAATCATTATGAAGTAGAATAATTTACATGCAACATGAAGATACGTTGAGCTCTACAGGCTATGATGGGAAAATGAGATCTGGCCACCCATCTGGACACCTGTGACTCATACACTGCACTACATAGTCATTCCTTTGAGGTTTTAAAATGTTAATAAAATGAGCCCTGGCTTTGCGTTAGCTCCATTATGTGTTACCGTAATTCTTCCATTCATCCTACGGTCAAGTTCCTCTCTGCCGCTCCGTATTTTCTCATCTGGTCTCACCAAAAGCCAGTTCTGTCCCTGGAAGAAAAAGAACACAGAAAGCCTCTCTTCACCCTCTCTGGATTTTTCTGCTTGAATCAAACCTAATGAAGTTTTGGCAGAGCGCGCATGAGCCGCCCGACTCCTGGTCACCCCTCTCAGTGACTTGAGGCATGTATTTGATGCTTACTGAATAACGTGATGTAAGTCCAAGTGAGCGACACCTCTCGTGAGGCTTCCTTCCTTCCAGAATTCCAGGGAAGGTAAGCTCCAGAGACATCACATTAGGGACAAGAGAAGCCAGCTAATCCTGCAGATAGCTGCTCTGCCCTCTCTAGAAGGGAAAGAAAAGAAACTCCCCTGCCCTCATGCAGAGGGTTTTTCCCCACTGGCTCAATAGGCAGATATGCTATATTGTACACTAATCCCTTTGAAGTGTGGGATTTTCCAGACCTTTCCTCTCAGTCGATGAGATTTGAGCAATGGTGGCAACAAATGCCCAAGGGATGTCGTGGCCCACACCTCCTCTCTACCATTTGCTCTTAGCTTGCTCCCATCACGGACTTGGTGAGAAACATCCCCTGTGCGGTGACAAGGCGGAGCAACCTCAGGAAAGCTTTTCGAGAATACGCGGCCAAGTTTGACCCTTGCCGGTGTGCTCCATGCCCTAATAATGGCCGCCCCACGCTCTCGGGGACCGAGTGTCTGTGTGTTTGCCAGAGTGGCACCTATGGAGACAACTGTGAGAGACGCTCCCCGGACTATAAATCCAGTGAGTATCCTTGACTTCCTGTGGAGGAGGCCCCTTTTCCCCTCCAGAAGGTGTTCTAGAACATATGTCATATATGTTCTAGGTTGGTCGAGGAAAACAAAAGTTTTATTTTCCACCTTATGCAAACTCACAAGGAAAAGAAGCCTGTGAAAAATTAGACTCTAAAGTCAAACAGCCCTGGTGAGAGTGAGGCTCCACTGTAACCCACTAGCTGTGTAACCGTGGGAAAGTCACCCAACCCCTCTATGCCTCAATCCATTCATCCATCACATGGGGACAATGCCAGTATGTACCTGAAGATTTTATATATATATCTATATATATATATAGAGAGAGAGAGAGAATAGGCAACAATGCCTGTAACATAAAATAAATAAAATAATAAACCATACTATAAAATAAAGTATGTTATACTGTTGTTATAGGTCTCTTCTGTATTATAATGTAGAATGATGATGGCTTTGTAATCGGAGATAAGTTAATCCCCCCCAACAAAGTTTTCATACAGGGTTAAGTAATCTTCATGGCTACCTGTAATCCTGCTCAGAAAGGGGATGTGTCCTGGGGGTAAGAATGTATTCTATTACATTTAAGAAAGTAATTTGATATATATATTCTGAAGAAGTTCATCTTTATACATATGTGCATGCATGCGTGTGTGTGTGTGTGTGTGTGTGTGTGTGTGATACGTTGCTGATAGTTGAAAATGATTCATAATTGTTGCCATTTTATTCAGGCTATGGGAACAGGAAAGGGAAATTAGGCAAGGTGTCAGGCCCTTGGCATAGGTAATTTCTTTTAATCCTCACAATAACCCTGTGATATTCCTCAAAGAATCACACAGCTAAAAAGCAAGGAGACCAAGTCAGCCTGGCTTCACCACCACCCCCAACTCTCTCAGCTGCACCGCAATGGGCGGGGGGTGCTTCCTGTGTTCCAGATGCGGTGGATGGGAGCTGGAACTGCTGGTCTTCCTGGAGCACGTGTGATGCTACTTATAGGAGATCCAGAACCCGAGAATGCAACAACCCTGCCCCCCAACAAGGAGGGAAACCCTGTGAGGGCGAGAAGCGGCAAGAGGAGCACTGCACGTTTTCAATCATGGAGAACGAGTAGGGATGCGTGATGGGGAATGTGTATTTTCTTACTGCTGAGTAAAGAATCAGAATTTTACCTCTTCCAACACAGTGGTATTAGTGGGGTATTGGTGGATCTGGTGCTACCCATTCCTCTCATCGTTTTCTCTCTTGTATATATATATACATACACATACATATGTAAATGGGTTGTGTGTGTGTGTGTGTATACACACACACACACATTTGTTACATTATACACACATATTTACTTTTCCCTTTTAGTGGACAGCCATGTGTCAGTGATGATGAAGACGTGAGAGAAATAGACCTCCCTGAGACAGAATCAGATTCAGGGTGTCCTCGGCCAGTTCCTCCGGAAAATGGATTTATCCGGGTAAGCATCCTGACCTTCACTTCAAGTTTGGAATCCAAAAGATAGAATTTAAAAAGTATGCATTTTCTTTTATTTCAGGTTATTGTTTTCCCAGTTTAATCATCTTCCGTTGACTTAAAAATTAATACTTAAAAACACTCTACCATGCCTCTGTCTTGAATTCCCTGGAGAGGTCTTCACACCTGGTTGTTAGACCAAAGACCACAGGTTGCCTGCGTTTCTTGGCGCTACCTGTTCCTAGGCTAAGGGTCCACTTATGTGAGTGGAAAGTGGAGCTTGGCCACAATATAGGTTCAGATGACTTGTGAGAATCTGAAGATCTGACTGTTTATTTCTGAGTCTGAGCATGTTTTCAGAGAGGCAACCTAGTCACAGGAGGTGTGGAGTCTATAATGCCTTAGGTTAGAAACCTGTAGAATTCTTAAGCAGTCAGTGTGGTTTTAATACCTTTTAATTTTACCTTTTTTCATTGAGCCACAATGTTTCTATGATTTAAAATAACTAAATATGTTTGTCAGACAGGTCAGTGGTTTTAGATACAAATTAGAGACATATAATATCTAAAATTGATCATAGAAGGCAGGCTCCTAATCAATTTTACCTTTAAAAAATTTTTCTTAGCGTTCTTTAACTCAGTGAAGCCTTTAAATTAATCTTTTTCAACTGTATCATATTTATGATCAAAGATCAATAACCCTCAATTCTCCAATGCCAGCAAATTAATATCTATGGAGCATAGTCCGGGCTAATGTCCCTTCCGCATTCATTTGTCTTCTGCCTAAAGATTTTAAGGGGAGGAAATATTTTGGAGTGAGGTAATGTCATTTAGTCCTTAGAACAGAGATTCTCAAACTCTACAGTGCACTGGAGGGCTTGTTAAAACACGGATTGCTGGGTCTCACGCCCGGAGTTTCTGATCCAACAAGTCCCGGGCAGGGTCTGGAAACTGCCCTATCTAACGCGTTCCCAGGTAATACTGTTGCTGCTCGGTCCAGAGCCACACTGTGGGAAAGAGTCCTTGAGGACAGGGGTCAGCAAACTGTGGCCCACGGCCCAAATCTGGCCTGCCATCTGTTTTCCTTTCTTTTCTTCTTTTTTTTAACAAAGTTTCATTGGAATACAATCACACTCATTTACTTACATATTATCTATGGTGGCAAGAGTGGCAGAGGTGAGGGGTCGCACCTCTGGGCTACCGAGGCCCCTTATAGAGGAGCTGTGCTAGTCCCTGGCCTAGAGCATAATCCTCAAAATCACATTTGGTCAGGTCCAAGTAATTTTTTAACCTGTTTTTGCCGCAGGATCAACATTCTAATTTTAAAAGCACACAAAGGGTTTAAGCAGTGATTCATTATTTGAATGACTCTCTTTTATAAAATTAGATGATATGTTTCCCTTCCTTTGAATAAGTTTGCTTTTTGTTCTCTTTTGCTTCTTTATTAAAGACCTAATCTCTACTGACAGTAGTTTTTACTCACAAGTAATACAACTTGGATTTTTCCTAATGAGCACCTTCTGGGATTGCAAGTAGCAAAATACCCCTTGTTCCCAGACAGAGGCAGCTACCCCTCATTCTAGGCTAGAGCAACGGTGTCATTGCACAGGAAGGTACTTGTCTACCCCTGTGGGCAAGCAACAGTGACTTTAGGCAAAGTTTCCTTGCTCGGTCCGTCTAGCAGATGTGTTGGTGGAAGCGTGATGGTTGCAACATGCACTTACAGGTTACAGCCTCATAAGATAAATAGAAGCAGAAGCTTAGGAACATCATTTATTTGGGGAAGAATGCAAGAAGAAATGTGCAGCCTTTGAATAAAACATCCAAATCGTTAATGCTACTCATTAGTCCATTTCCCTTAGAAACAAAGCCACAGCCGTAATAACCAATAGTAGAATAATCTTTCTGTGGTCAGGAAATTAATCATCTTCCATGAGACAGGCTGAACCATGTGGCCAAGTAATAACAAAAGTTGACAATCGAGCTTTTTTTTTTTCACCTCCCTCAAAATTTGTGACTTCGGTTCGCAGAGAATAACCTCCTAGTCAATTCTTTGCATTTTTCTTCCACTCAGTAAGGAAAAAGACTTATATTACTGCCCCCTAAGAAGGATAGGAGGCAGTAATATAAGTTTGCATTCTTTCAACAGAGTTATTAAGCCTTTGTAGAGATGTGTGAGGCAGAAATCTGCTAGTGGTGGTGCCACTCATGGGTCAGGAATGAAACTGCAAGGTAGCACACATTATAAAAATAGGGCTTTGTACAAGTTTCCCCCAGAACTGAGAGAATGGTGCACCTCAGGAAGCTGGGAAAGTGAAGGTTCTCACAGAGGAAATTCTATTTGAGTTGAGTCCTGAGAGAAGGGAAGACAGAAGGTGTGGAGCATAGAGGAAACAACCCGATAAAGACATGGTGGCATGAGCGAGAATATTATGTTCAAAGAATGGCAGATGGTTTTATTTTGTGAGGAGTAGGTTTTACAGGAGCAAATGGTGAGAGGTGAGGATGGTAAAGTGGGTTAAATCTAATACTCCACACTAAGAAGTGTGAAATCCATTTTATCTTGAAGATTTTAGTGAACCCCTACATGACAGTAGTTGTACTTTAATTACACATAACTGGGAAAATATATAATGACCCCTGGGTTACTAGGAATTGAGTAACATTTTTTTTATTTTATTATGCTATGTTAATCACCATACATTACATCATTAGTTTTTGATGTAGTGTTCCATGATTCATTGTTTGCGTATAACACCCAGTGCTCCATGCAGAACGTGCCCTCTTTAATACCCATCACCAGGCTAACCCATCCCCCCACCCCCCCCCCTCTAGAACCCTCAGTTTGTTTCTCAGAGTCCATAGTTTGAGTAACACTTTTAAATGATTTGTAGTCAACTAGCCACCACAGCAAATCCCTGTATTTTCTGCGTATATGGAATACATTATTTCATCAGTTTATAGCCACTATAGGGTAAGTATATAGGTTTTTAATTTTTGCAGTAGTAGGCCATGCCATATCCAGTGGGGAGGAAGTTTCTAAGTAAAAATAAAAACAAACAAACAAAAAATCTTAATCAGTTTAGAGCAGCAATATGGAAGATGGATTAGAAGAGGGCCTGGTTAGAAAGTTGTGCTTGTAAGAGATCATAAATGCCAAGAACAAAGGCAGTGATGATGGCAAAGGAAAGGAGAGAACTTTGAATGATGTTTAGAAGTAGAAATTGAGAGGAGCCGTGTGACTGAGTAGATCCAGGAGTGAAGGAATGAGAAGAATCCAGGACTACCCCGAGGTGTTTAGAGATATCGTTTGTGGCATCGATAATTTGTTGGTTTCTGTTTTAATTCTAGAATGAGAAGAAACTGTACTCAGTTGGGGAAGAAGTTGAAATCTCATGCTTTACTGGATTCACAACTATTGGATACCAGTACTTCAGATGTTTACCAGACAGGACCTGGAGGCTAGGAGATGTGGAATGCCAACGTGAGACGCGGGCAGACTTTTTGCATGACTGCTCTAAAGAATGAATGTGCCCCATATAACTAGAGCAAAATCCCACCCTCAGATCACTCCTTTGTACGATTTTTTCGTAACTCTGGTGAAAAGGTCTAGGTGAAGCAGAAAATAGGATTCATCTGGTAAAATTCAATTTCAAAATGTCTTCCTATTTCAGTTCTCATGCCCCTGTATCTTAGCTTCGTAGACAAGAGGACTACAAAGCATGTGCTTACAAAGAAATCCCGAAAGTCAGCTACCTACATCGAATCTCAGACCTCTGCCTTGCCTGATGTCCAAATTCATGCAAATTGATGAGTCCCAGGAAGATGATACTTAGACTCTTTACGTAAATCCCAGAAATGGGATTTTATGTGAAATGCAGTTTTCTCCTTAGAGCGTGTTGTTCACATCCTTTACTGAGGAAGAGAGGAGAAATTTGTAGGCTCCACACAGACCCATTTGTAGGCTACAGTAAAGTCCAAATAAGATTCCCAGAAGGCTCAAGTAGGGACCCCAAAGAGTTATTAGGGAGCCCCATGAAGCAGAGTTGTGACCAGTGTCAATTAGGACGTCTGCCTCTGGTCATCCACATTGTGGTTGCTTGCTCTTGGAAACACATGCTAGGGAGAAGAGGGGAAAAAATATGTCTTGAAAGGAAAAAGTCCCAATAATGTAATGAAAGTGGGAAGTTTCTGGAGTGATTTCCTTTGCATGGGAACCCTCAGATAATGGAACTAAAGGGAGTGTCACAGTGGAGGAGCCTCTCAGGCGAAGCCTGGGGATCCTCTACGTCCCCCACCCCCAGTTTTCTGATCAAAACATGGCATTAAAGTTCACCCATGCAGTAAGTCGCATTAAAATCACCTCTTGGGCTGCCTAAAGTCTGCTTATATATGTTGAGTATTCTGCTCCACTAAGCAAATCCAAAATGTTTCTCTGCCTCCAGAGACACAGTGCCTCAAGCCAGTTGTGCAGGAAGTTCTAACGATCTCACCATTTCAGAGATTATATGGAATTGGTGAATCCATTGAGCTAACCTGCCCCAAAGGCTTTGTTGTCACTGGGCCGTCAAGGTACACATGCAGCGAGGACTCCTGGACACCGCCCATTTCAAACTCACTCACCTGTGAAGAAGGTGAGTAGAGCGCAGGATTCTGGGGTCTGCTAAGATGGTGCCCCTCAAGATTGGTGGCAGAGCATCCACAGTGGTGCTACTTCCTGAGTGTGTTTTGGGAGGAGAGAGCAGAAGATTCCACCTTGGGCTGGGTTTTACATTTCAACCTGTGTCATGATGAGGTCAGACGGCAAATACAAAGTTATTGGTCAGGTAGGTATCTTCAAACTTTAGAGACTGAGGTCAATTTTCTTTTCTAATAAATGCTTCAATATGGGAATTTAACATCTAACAAAATGAGAATTTTTTAAAAAAATCTTATTTATTTATTTGATAGAGAAGGAGAGAGAGAGCGAGCACGAGCAAGGGGAGCAGCAGGCAGAGAGAGAGGGAGAAGCAGACTTCCACTGAGCAGGGATCCCCACGTAGGGCTTCAGCCCAGGACCCTGGGATCATGACCTGAGCCAAAGGCAGACGCTTAACCGGCTGAGTCACCCAGGCGCCCTAATAAAATCAGAATTAATGATAAACTGAAAATGTGGTTAAAGTGGAGAGCCATAAAAAAGTAATGCATACTAGTTTTTAATTACCTAAGCATTTTGTTTTAACTTAAAATATAGAAATGCACGATTATTCACTCATTTTCCAATGTAGGACCAAGCTCTCATTTTCTAAAGGGTCTTCTATTTGAGTTCCACGACTTCTTCCTCAAATAAAACAAATGCATAATTCATCATCTATGTTATCCCATATCAGTTCCTCTAAAACAATGTTTTTTTAACTCCAGGTGGGGCACTTCTTTTAAAAATCACCTCTGCTTAGGTCCCATCCAGCGATTCTGATGTCATTGAGCTGGGGAGGGCCTGGTATTTGGTGTTTGTTTAAAAGCTCTTCTGGCTAACCAGAATGCATGCAGAGTTGAGAACCATTGTTTTAAGAGAGGTAAAAACTTAAAGGCACTTTTGAAACAAATTGACTAGAGAAGGCTTTTAAATTTATATATATATATATATAATATGTATATTTCATAATCTTTTACAGTAGTCTTATCCCCAGTTAAAGCAAAATTTTTGCAAATCACTTTTTTAATTGTTCAAAATTCTCAACTTTTTATAAAAACAACTCCTTCTTTCCTCCTTTATTTTATTGCTTTCCATAGTTAATCAATTTACACAGTTACAGTAACAACCAGCATATATAGATTAGGAGACACATGCACTGATAAACCTGTAGCTCCGCTGGTGGGGGCAGAAACGTGAGGCTGTAAAAGAGAGTGTTGCCAAAAGAGATTGCAAGAGCCTCTTGGTCTCTTCTTGGTCTCTTGGTCTCATCACAAGTAAGAATTCAAGGACAGACCAGACAGAGCGGATGAGCGGTGTGGGCAAGTTTATTAAAGTGAAAGTCCGCTCTCAGAGGAAGAATGGGCAGACTCCAGCAAGCAACTGCCCTGGATTTCTTCTGTTTACAAGCTTCTATTGTATTTTGAGTAATTGGAGGAGGAATATTCATTGCGGTAGGTGGGATCTTTCTGGGTGGCAGCCTGCTTTTTCCAGGAATCCAGGTACCACCCCTTTCCTTTCCTTATTTGGATTGATCAGAACTGTCACGGTGATTTTAAGGGCCAAGATCTTTCAAAACTGCAGTGTAAATGGTATAATGAGGGTAAAGTCATCTGAAGATACCGCACACCCTCAGCTTGCTGTTGCCCTAGGATTTCCTCACCGCACCAAGTGGCCTCACTCCCCTTTGATGCCCAACAGGTGCCTTTCTGCTCCATCCCTGTCCTGCTCATTACTGTCTAACTGCCTACTCTAACCAGAGGAGCCCACAAACCTGGAAGGTCAACATCAGGCAACTGCCATAGAGAGGCTGGAGAAAACAGTCTGGCGAGTCAGTAACTTGGAAGACAGTTAAGGGCTTCCACTAATTCATATCTTCCAACTTTTTCAGCATGCTTTTTCAAGGCAGGGTCTCATTTTTATTGAGAGAATCCTGGGAGATGTATCTGAGATCAGATATGATTAGGCCCATTTTGCTTCTGCAAAAGCAGAAGGTATAGAGAGTCTCAGTTAAACCCAAGGTCGGGCGGTTTGGGCCAACGAGAACACTGAGCAACAGCTGTACTCCTTCCCCAAGTTCACTGCCATCTGGCCTTCCATACCCTCTTCTAGGCTATCATAATGCATAAAAAAAAAGGGAAAAATTAACCTATTAAAATAACCTTAAAACTCTTGATAAAGAGATATCATGGAAATTTGTGAGAACTTCAAGTTGATAATTGTGGCTGGATTTCACTTGACTCCTGATCATACATTCCAGGGGGAACCACAGGCTTCAGACAGTTAACATCCTCTGGACATCTTAGGTAGTATCTTCTCTATACAAATAAACAGCACTGTCCACACACACACACACACACACACACACACACACACACACCCATGATTGTGTTTGGAGAAGAAATTGAAATTATAATCCAATCTGAGAGAGAATGAAATGTTCTATATCCAGATAAAGTAAATAAACATCCTATCTCATATATTTTCTCTCCAACAACATTGGCAAAAAGATTAGTGAGGGGAGTCAGAAAGAGAGAAAATCATCAATAAAACTGAACACTCTTTCCTCTCAATGTGTAGGGGGCTGTGAGACAAAGAGGCTTTCAGGCCATCCTTAGGAAAAGATTTTTAATTATTTCAACGTGAAAAGGGTCGGGCGTCCTGAGGAGATGAGATGGTGCATGCTTCTACGGTTACTTTTTCCTCCTCCGAGAAATTGACACCTCCCGAAGATCCCCTTGGCCCCAGCACTCCAAAGATCACAGTGTTCTCATTTCCATGTCCTTCACTAACTGTGCTGGGTGGTATGGGCAGCTGACAGCCGGCTCTGACTTCCACCTGACACACTGAGGGGGCAGACTCCTTGCATGTGATCATTGACAACTTCCGATCAGTAGTGCCAAGTGTTTGAAAGTTGATTCTCTTTGGAAACAATGTACAGCTCGGGGTCTTTCCCTGACCTAAGTGTGGATTTATTTCCGAAGCGCAAAGAGGTATAGTTCTACAACAAAGAAAAATAAGTCCATGTCAATGGAAAAGCTTAGTATCTGAGGCCTTCTCAGCAGCTGTAGGTCTCCATGTTCAGGGAAGTTATGGGCCAGATTTCACCAGAAGGCATAAGGTTCCTGACAGAGAATGAGAGTAGGAAATGCTATGGAATTCATTGCTATGAAGAAAACCTACCAATTTTTAAAATCATTATTTTTGCCTCTAACATAAACCTCCTTCCCCTCATCAAACCTTCTGCCTGGTAGGCTAAAAGGAGCGACCGTGAGCTTGGTCTCCTGCTCAGCCATTTAATGTGGCAGAATATCTAGCTATGGCTGCCTACTGCCATCCTTCGACGATTACTTGCTTCGGGAAGCCCATTGTGATTCTGTGGATTAGTCAAATTCAGTCCTGGGAAGTTTGTTTCATGCAACAGGCTCAGGAAGTCAACTCTAGGTCCAATTCAACCCATCTAAAGGTCCTCTGGATGGATCTTCATGTAAGCCAAGACAACCAAGATTTCCCCTTCCATATAATATACCCAAGCGTTATTCCCTCTACTTTAATCCCCGTTGCTCACATACACACTGTTGAGTTGCTTGTCTTAGATCAAGCCTCACTTCCTCGTGGATCTTTCCTCGTATTTCTCAGCTGGGGTCTTTTGTTATATGGTCTCTGGAACCATGTTCCCTTTCTTCAAAATACCTATCACGGCCTTTATGTATAAACCCATTACTATGATTATTTGATTGATGTCTGTTTTCAAAATGTCCTTTACATTCGTGCAAAAAAAAGGGACCACTGTTGTTTTCATTCTTTTTATGTTTTTTTCCCCATCATAATATATTAGTGCCTAGAATATCATGCAGAGATAAACAGGAGCTGCATTTCTCCCTGGATTCTTCTTGTAAGAAAATCTGACTTCCGAGGCATTACCCCAAAAGAACAATTTTCACCATTGTTACTGAGATCTATACTGCTACAAGTAATGGATATTATTTTGATCCTCATCTTTGACCTCCTTAGGAACATCCAACAGTGTTGACCTTCCTCTTCCTATTCTTTCTGTGGCTCCCAATATACAACATCATCTTGTTTAGCTTCTACCTCTCTGGCTGTTGCTCTCTGTTCCTTCTGCCTGTGCCTGGACATCAAATGTTGGAGTTCCTCAGGATCATCTGTCCCCTCACCTTATGCTACATTTTCCTGCTGGGGAATCTCACCCACACCCATGGCTTCAAGGATTCCCCAAAGAATAATAACAAATTTAATTCATTAGCACAGACTTCTCCACTGAGCTTAAACCCAAATAGCCACATTTTTATGTATCTGTTTTGATCTAGTTTGTTTGAGTGTCTTAAAGATACCATAAATTGGGGCACCTGGGTGGCTCAGTTGGTTGAGCAACTGCCTTCGGCTCAGGTTGTGATCCCGGAGTCCCGGGATCGAGTCCTGCATCGGGCTCCCTGCTCGGCAGGAAGTCTGCTTCTCCCTCTGACCCTACCCCCTCTTGGGCTCTCTCTCTCTCTCTCTCTCTCTCTCTCTCAAATAAATAAATAAAATCTTAAAAAAAAAAAAGATACCATAAATTTAGGAATGCCTGGGTGGCTCAGTTGGTTAAGCTCTGCCTTCAGCTCAGGTCATGATCCCGGAGTCCTGGGATCGAGTCCCACATCGGGCTCCTTTCATAGCAAGGAGCCTACTTCTCCCTCTACCTGCTGCTCCCCCTGTTTGTGCGCTCTGTCTCTCAAATAAATTAATTAATTAAATAAATAAAATCTTTTTTAAAAAAGAAATGAAAGATACCATAAATTTAACATAGGCAGAGAACTCTTGAGTCATTACCCTCGCCTCCCTAAAACTAAGCATCTTATAATATTTTCTATTTCAGTTAAGGCACCAAAGTCTATTGTCTAATGCAAGCCAGAAACCTAAGAATCATACTTTGCAGCTCTCACAGCTTACCCACAATATGCAATTTCATCCATTTAACCTGCTAAGTATGTCACAGGCTTATTGACTTCTCTCCATTTCCAACTCAACATTTTGGTCCAAATTACCATCCTCTTTCACCTGAACTGCTATAATCATCTCATAGCTTGTCTCCCTATAGGCTTCTTGGCCACCGTGCCTCTTCAACAAATCCATTCTCCACACAGAAGCCAGAATTCATTTCTTTTTCAGAATCCAGACCTGATTTTGTCCTATGACCCCCTGTTTAAAACCCACCAAAGACTTTTCATTGTTTATAAAATAAAGGCAGAAATCTCTCAGAAGCACTGTAAGCCCCGCACCACCTGACACACACTCCCCTCTCTGGCCTCATCTTGTTCCTGCTCTTGTTTTTCTGCACTTAAACCACACGGGCCTTCTCGCAGTTCCAGGAAAATCACATGCTGCCTCTCTTTCGAACTTCCATGCCTGATGGTCCCTCTGCTGCAAACACTTTCCCTTTCTTCTTTCCATTTTCCCAGTCCTAACCTTCCTCGTGACGTCAGTTTTCTTGATTATATGCTTTCTGTCTAATCACACGAATAACATGAGCAATTCTATTTGTATGCGTGTGTTTGATTAATGTCACTCTGCCCTCACAAAACTCTAAGCTCTGTGAGCATAGAATCTGGGTGAAATTTTACTCAATCCACTCTTTCCAGAAGCTAACACAGTGCTGCGAGTATCTTAGTCACCCAGTAAATATTTGAAGAACAAATGAACAGAAATTTCACCAATTCCATTCTCTTCAGTTCTCTGAACTTAACAGCAATTTTAGGTTGGAAAATGACAGCTCATGAGAGCTAGAAAGGACCTTTCAGATGGAATATTTCATGACAACATATTTGGAAAAGGCAAAATGAATGCCCTGACTGCAGGTGATAAGTGAAAATTTTTCACCACTGCCTTCCCTCCTAAGTCCAAACTTGCCACTTGGAATCCATGCTGTGCACTCTTCTTTACCCCTTTTCTTTTGTTTCAGATGTTTTGACAAAATTAAAGGGCCGTTGTCAACCAGGACAAAAACAGTTGGGATCTGAATGCATTTGCATGTCTCCAGAAGAAGACTGTAGGTGAGAGATACTCTATGGACTGTATTTGGAAAATGGGAAAACCAGTCTAGTGTAACCAGCTTGATAGAGGAGCTGAGCTTCTTGAAGCACAAACACGAAACATATTAATTTTTCACATAACTGATACCCCCTGTGCTGTGTTGATTTCTTCCCCACGGGGTAGCAAGCTTTCTTAATTATCTCTCAGCCCCCATTCCCTAAGTTTGCATGGCATTTGTTTATTAAGACACTTTCAGTTTTGTTTATGAAGACTTATTCCTGTCCTTAATGGGTTTCAGACTCAATTATCTCAAAGCCTTCCTCTTCCCCCTATGCACAGGGCAAGGTTATGACTCCAAAAGCTTAGAATAGAGACAGTGGTATGAGCACAGACTTCACACATATACACACCCCTTTGTCAGTGTATTTTTTCCTGCTGGGGTAGAGAGAATGATGCAGGAAAATGATACATCCCCCCTGTGACTGCCATGACTAGACAGCTATCTCCTTTTTGTTGTTATAACTGCCTTATCTTTTTTTTAAGTGATCTCTGCACCCAATGTGGGGCTCGAACTCACAACCCCGAAATCAAGAGTCACATGTTCTTCTGACTGAGCCAGCCAGGCGCCCCTAACTGCATTTTCTTTATGTGAACAAACTGAGGACAGTCAAGGGTGCTTCTTAATTTAAGGGCTACTTTCAGTTGAATTTAATTCAAAACAGTGTTAGCTGAAGATAAAATTTTATTTCTCTATCTCACAAAATAAATGCAGAGGTAGGCAATCTAGGGCTAGTATAGCGACTCTCTCATTGCAGGTAGGACTGAGGCTCATTCCTGCTCTTGTTCTACCGTCCTTAAAGTTATTTCTTGGTCCAAGATTGCTCTGCAGGAGCAAGAAGGGAGAAGACCAAAAATGGACATTTTCCCTCTTTTTAAGGCGAATTCTTGGAAGACCCATCACTCACTTCCATCTCATTAACGTTTGCTTATCCATAAGGCCACATGTACTTTCAAGGGAGGCTATGAAGTGCAGCTCTTTGGCTGGATGCATAGGCCCTATGAATAAAGTTAGAGTCGTATGACTGAGGAGGAGAAAGACTGAACATTGGGAGAGGAAGACAACAGACTGTGCCCAGTTGTTGTCCTTCACTTTTAACACTAAGTAGCTCTCATGTTCCTCTGTGCTGCAGGTGGACAAACACTTATAAGGACTTCTTATTTATTTAGGAAAACTCTAGGGTATTTTTCTGTATAATTCCACAAATATAATTCAGCATAAAGGTGGTCCTCTCTACACCCCTCAGTCCCAGAAGTGGTCCACCGTGAAGCTTCTTGCTGCTGGAGTCTCCTCATCCAACAGATGGCCCTCTGGGGAATACGTGCAACACTCCTAGTGCCCATTTAACGCAGAGGGAACTTCCGTCTTTATCTTTTTTTTTTTTTTTTAAGATTTTATTTATTTATTTGCGAAAGAGAGAATGAGAGACACAGAGCACGAGAGGGAAGAGGGAGAAGCAGACTCCCTGCCGAGCAGGGAGCCCGATGCGGGACTCGATCCCGGGACTCCAGGATCATGACCCGAGCCGAAGGCAGTCGCTCAACCAACTGAGCCACCCAGGCGCCCCCGTCTTTATCTTTGCAATACCAAGTTTTGAGAATGCAGACTGTCCTCTGGAACTGAGTTTCAGCTCTTCCCTACCTCTCTAGCCTCTTTCTGTAGTCCTCAGTTCTCCTTTACACAGCAATGAAGGTGTTTGTGAGAAGCATCTGGCCCCACAGCTTAAGTTCTCTGCACATAGAGAGAGACCTTTACTTCCTGGAGATAAATTTACACACTGATGCCCTGATTGTGAACTCTAAAACTGACATCTGAGAAGAAACTCAAATTTAGAATAATCAAGGACCTTTTATCCTCTCAGCAAAAGAAGGACTGTGGCCGCTGGTTACCTCTTGGGAGCAGGACCCATCATCTACTTAGGGAGATTAAGCAAGTTACCCAGGGAATGACATAAAAGCTCATGCATGCAGTCGATCACAGTACATTTGCAAAGCTATGTAATGATATAAGACTCTAGTGTTGCAATTACTGAGTATTATAGAGTTCTGAGGCAGTCCAGACTACACAGACCAGTTTGACCAGGGTTAGCTTCAAAGTGTAGCCGGGAATTGAACTGGACACACATAGGCAGAGAAGAAAGACAATGCAAAGATGATTGAGTAGAGCATGGGATGCCAGCAAAGGAGAAGTAATCTTATAATTTTTAAAAATGATCAATACAATTGTCGGGTGATAGAGATTAGGAAGGAAAGAGAAATAATTCTAGAAAGGAAAGTTAACTGGAGTCGAATTGTGGAGGATCTTGATTACCAGAATTTTAGAATTCAGACTTTGATTCGAAGACAATTGGGAGTAACACCAAGATTAAGATGAAATTTTAGAAAGATGAATCGCAGAGCATGTAAAATGAGATGAAGAACCGAAAGAAGAGAAGCTGGGGGCAGGGGGGAGGGGGGAAGAAAACTGAGTGGTAAGTTTACATATTCTATTGACTGCCTGCCATCTCTTTTTTTCTAGTCTTCATGTATAAATGTTTGCTTTTCTCCCTTGGGCAGCCATTATTCAGAAGATCTCTGTGTGTTTGATACAGACACCAGCCATTACTTTACTTCATCTGCTTGTAAGTTTTTGGCAGAGAAATGTTTAAATAATCAGCAACTCCATTTTCTACATATTGGCTCCTGCCAAGATGGTCCACAGCTAGAATGGGGTCTTGAAAGGAGGAAACTTTCATCCAATAGCACAAAGAAAGAATCCTGTGGCTATGACACCTGCTATGACTGGGAAAAATGTTCAGGTAAGCTCCAGTGGTGACCACATACTAGAAATGCTCACACATAACCTTCATCGCAACTAGTTCATCTTATTTGCATTTATACTCTTTCTCAAAACAAAACAAAAACCTTTTCTTAATCAAAAATAATTCCTTTACATTGTAAAAAATTTTATTAATTTATTTAAATAGAAAGAAAAAAAAACCATAACCCACCCACTGTTAGAAATAACTACTTTCATAATTTTAGGGTGAATCTTCCTAATTATTTTTCAATGCATATACAATCAGTACTAGCCTTAGACTCCAGTAGAAAATCATCTGTCCCAGTCTCGTGCTTCAGGCACCATTCCCCACCCCCAGCTTTGGAGGGCCTTCATCAGAATTGTCTAAGTTTTCCTCTGGCATTTGGGACTGGCTAGGACAATGTAGCTAGAGTGCCCTGAGCCTAGATTGAATTCCTCATGGATACTAATTGCCAGAAGCATTTTCTTCAAAGTTTTTTAAGTCCTCTTGCAGTGCCTGGGACTAGCCAAGGCTGGCAGTGTTAATCAGGTAGGATACTCTGAGCCCAGACTGGGGTTTCTCATGGGCTCAGGCACTGTTTCTCCTTTGCAGAACATTCTCTGACCTTCTACTCCTTCTCTCTCACCATGCATGGGGTCAACCAACTGCTCCAAAGAGCTCCCGGTCTCATGCCTGTAGAGTCATCCATGGCTCAGAGCTAGAGCCTCATTTCCAGAAAGCAGCCTGGTGAGCGACCAGCCAGCAGGGTATTCTTTGCCAAGATTGCCTGAGATTGGACTGCTAGTATGGTGCTGACACTAATTCAGAGTGACTGTAATTGTCTATATAGAGAGTCATCTCATTAAAAAAAAAATTCCCAAGGTCTTATATATCTCCGGGGTGGCCCTGATTATATTACAGTTTTTTTTTTTAAAAAGTATCATCCTTTACATCTTATTTTACATATTGCTGTTTTCACTTAATATATCGTGAAACTATTTTCATGTCATTATATATTACTCTGCTACATAATTTTCAATGTCTGCCAAAGCCTATTGAACATTCTGTAATTTATTTCACTAATCTTCTGTTAAGTGTTTAGATTTTTCCCAATATTTTGCTATTACAAACAGTGCTGTAATAGACAAATCTATCACACATAAATCTTTAAGATTATTTCCTTAGGACATACCTTAGAAAATGAAATTTCTAGGTAAATATTATTTCCAAATATAAAGTCTTTGTTGGTACTGTGTATCAACTTGCTTTCCGGAAATGTTTTTGCCATATTATATTTCCTATCTACAGTGTATAATTAAGACTGCCTTCCATACTTTCACCAATGCTTGGAGTTATTACTCCTTTATTTCTCTGTCAATTTGATAGTCAGGAATTGGCATTACATTTCTATTTTCTGTAAGTTGCCCAATTCTGATCAGTATCAAATCATCTTATAGCTAAACTCTACTACTCATTTTTCTTTGCCAGACCAACACCACTGCCCAACTGACATGTCTCTTAGAAATAATATTTGTGGTAGAAAAGAGCTGAAAGTATTATGGAATATCATTTTGTATTTAAAATATAAACTTTTTCTTTGAAAATTGTAGTGTAGGAACATTATTGTCAAAAATGCACACAGAAGATAAAAGGAAACAGAATGAAATGGTCCTTGTCTGTGCTAGAATAGGTAGATCAGGTATTTGGAGATGTATGTAGTGTTAGTTTCCATCCTTCCATATTTATCATGGAGAAAAGATCTTCATGGAACCTTCTATAGCAAAGAATTTTTTTTGCTCTTTTTCCACAGGTTATTCTTTTCAGATCTGAGTAGCAAATAATTTCTGGCTTACAATTTCATCAAAATCTGCCTTTACTATTAGCTCTTTGCTGTACATATATCTAAATCCTACAGTCTCCAGGAGTCTAAGTTTGTCTTAAAAAAGAACACTGAAAAGTTTGAATATTTAATCAATATTGCTCAAGTTAGCAGAATGTCTTGGGTAGTCAAACTAATACGTGAACATTTTGTAATAAGAGATTTAAGTCATTTAAAAGATTCTTTGATCCTGCACACAATCAGAATACTGAAAGCATTTTTCCCCCTAAAGGTATGGTCTGCCTGGGCCAGTCTTCTCTAATTGGTGAGCAAAAGTCAATATCACAGAGAAGTCTGTTCAGTAGCACAATAGAAGAGCATCAATGTACAAATCACAGCATTTATGAAGAAAGAGAAAGCTAAAAATGTATTTTGTACCCAACCCACTCATGGCAAGTTGGGATATTATTAATTTTGAGTTGAATTGAAGGTCACCTTGGTTAAACTGTGTTCTTGATTACATTGTGTACTTTGCTACTCTTTTCCTTCTCTATCTAAAATGAAATAAGAAAGAGTTTAAAATGGAACTTCAAAATAACATAAAGTTCACTTTTCAAAAGTTAGAACACGAGTGGCTTCTTTTTTTTTTTTTAAGATTTTACGTATTTATTTGACAGAGAGAGAGAGACAGTGAGAGAGGGAACACAAGCACGAACACGGATGGCTTCTTAAGGAGCCTATTTTTATGGACACTGAATGCTTTGCCTAAATTTCAAAACTATCCACCATCAACTAATAGAAGGGGGAAATTTATTCAGCACACATCCATTTAGTATCCAAGATGTGGAAGTCAATGTACAAGGTATGATGAAGATTCTGAAGATAAAGGAGCTTTGTACCTTCAAATTGTTCATAGTAACTGAAGGAGTAACTTTTCATGATAATTGCATGAATAACCTTAATACAAGCCAGTATGTAATAAGAACTGTGAGAGAGATAAAAATCTTCTGGCCTGGAAGGGTTTCATAAGGATGGTAGCATGAGAATTGAGTGCTGAAGGATGCATTAGTAGGGGTGGTGGGAAGGGCCTTTTGGTGCTGGTAGTCTAAAAATAATCTTGCTAAGAGCATTTAAGCCATAACCATCCTAAAAGAATGGTGACCATGCCTTTTCCAAAAGCTCAGGGAATGGACATCCTCTCCAGAGGTGGAACAATCTTTTGTCATTCACTAAACCCTATTGTTTACAACAATGAGCAAGACCTTCCACTACTAGCATCTTCTCTAGCTGTTGACAGAGGGCTTAACGAGGGAGTGCATGCTCTTTCATGAAATGTTTTCTACCAAAGACAGGAAGTCTACGTGCCAATGAGTATCTCCCCACTTCTTTTCCCTGTTTTCTCCCATTGGTTGAGACACATGGGGAAGAACTGATATCTGCCTAAAGAAGCTACTTCTTAATGACATCATTGCTGATTCTCAGTCTGACTCAGATATTTTGGCAACATGAATTATCCCAGATCTATCAGTACATTTCTTTTTGAATACTTACACCTATATCCCAAATTCAGAATTGAAATCAATTGATGAGGTGCGTGGGTGGCTCAGTCGGTTAAGCGACTGCCTTCGGCTCAGGTCATGATCCTGGAGTCCTGGGATCGAGTCCCGCATCGGGCTCCCTGCTCGGCGGGGTGTCTGCTTCTCCCTCTGACCCTCCCCGCTCTCATGCTCTCTCTTTCTCTCATTCTCTCTCTCTCAAATAATAAAATCTTTAAAAAAAAAAAAAGAAATCAATTGATGAAGCTGAATTAATTGAGCACCTCTTTAGGAGGTAAATGGGACATAGAGCTGAATGAGCTCTCAAACAAACCACTTATAACTGTCTTGAGAGAAAGACATATATGAAAAGCTAACTAACAAGAACGTATAAAACTGTCAGATGTAGTACTAACAAATTTACACTATTAAAGTTTAATTGAAACTTTAGTTAAAGTTTAGTTGGTATGAGGATAAGTGGCTATGAAGTGCTTCGTGGAGGACGTGAGACCTATGGAAACAAGACGTGTGGGGGAAAGTAGGAGGGAGCACATCAGCGCAGCAAAAGAAGAGGCCAGCATGGGTAAGAGGACAAAAGCTCGAACATCCTTGAGGTCTTGCTTGGGAAGCAGAGAGGGGCTTACTCTACCTGGAATGGAGAAAGCAGAAAAGACAATATGGCAAAGGGATTTTGAGGTCAAACTGTAGAGAACCTTGACCTTTGATTAAAATGTGTATGTGTATAAATGAGCCCATATCCCTTTACTCAAAATTTATTTAATATTCTTGGCTTTGGTAAGTTTATCTCAAGGAATCATTTTAAAATGATTTCATGAATTCAAGATTTATATGAATTATAAAGTGACTGGGTGGTTTTGAAACCAGGCCTCATAAAAGAGTCACCCACCCAGAAATATTCTAGAAAGAAATCAGTAACTGTGGTGTAGAGTTATGTTAAAGAATTAAGGCCTATGAGTCATTTATGATCTAAAACCTGCCTCTACCACTTACTAGTTGTGTAACCATGAGCTCATCACTAAAGCTCACTAATAAGCACATGTGTAGAATGAGCATGATAACATAGAGTTCGTATGTTTGTTGTGAGGATTAAATGAAATAAAGCACGTAAAGCACTTGGCTTATTATGTGGCTTCATAGCACCTTCTCAAAAGAAGGTAACTAAATGTTCTCGGGTGGTGCCAATGAGAAATAACAGCAAGAACAGACAGAAGACATTGCAGAAACGGATTGACGGGATGTAGTGACTGATTGGCTGTGGGCAGTAAGAGGGAGGTGTCAGAGACAGCCCAACTGCTGAATCTTACTGGCTTACCCGTGCATTCTAGTATCTTCCATCCAGATGACTCCACTCGACCACAGTTGGATCTTTTGGGTCATTGCCTTTTTTCCAGCTTTCTAATACATTGCCACCAAAGTTCCTGCTGCTCTGGGGACAAACTAGGTAAAATCAAACCCCGAGGTACTGTGGTGAGTTACACTGCCTCCCTCTCGTTTCAGCCTCTGTTTCCAAATGTGTCTGCCTGTTGCCTCCCCAGTGCTCCAAGGGTGGAAGCCAACTCTACTGCGTCAAGATGGGATCGAGTAAGAAAACAGTGAACATCTGTGAAGTAGGAGCTATACGATGTGCCAACAAGAAAGTGGAAATACTGTATCCTGGGAGGTGTTCAGCCTAAAACAATTACTGATAAACAGATTTACTGTTTATACAGTACATAAACAATATACATATTATTACATAGTACATAGTACATAAACAATATACATATATACAGTACATAAACAATATACATATGTATACATATACAAAAATAATTCCTACAAAAGGGCCATCCTCCTATAAACAGCAGACTGGTGTGCCCAGAGGTTAGACATAAATTCTTTTGTGTTACTTTCATGTAATTTTTCACTCTGCCTCTCCTGCCTTAGCTTTTCCTATCCAGTTCCAACCCATGATATTCTGTAGTGTACACCCAGGTAATAACTCTTTCACATCAATCCGGTAAATTCTTCTGTTCACATTGCTCTAAAATGATGGGACTTCTGAGGACCTTATGAAGCCTATAGTATTAAGCATTCTCACAAATAGAATTAAGAACAAAAATCATAATTGTCTTCAATTAATCAATAAACAGAAACCTACAACAACTTGTAAAACACATTCTTGAAATCCATCCTTTCTTCATGCACTCATTCAACAGATAATTCTGAATGTCTACAATGTGCCAAGTACTGTTTAAGATGCTGGGGAATTAGCAGTGAATAAAAAGACAAAATCCTTTGCCTTCATGAAGCCCACATCCACAGGGAGGAAGACATTTAAAAAATAAAATAAGCGTATAAAATATATAGTATGTTTGATGATAATTGCTATGGAGAAAATAAGGCAAGGAGAGCTGAGTCTCGTCATCTTATGCCAGGAATCCCTTCATAGTAATAATCATCACAGTACGGATGATTGGAAACAAGTAGAAATTGCCGCGCTTAAGGCAGTTACTAAACTTCTGGAGTTCCATACTCTTAGGAAAAGAGATTCTCCTTGCCTCAGCTAAAGCATATCCCAAAGCTTTTGAGCTGAAGTATGTGATGGATGGAAAGTAAAATCATCAGAAAATTGTGAAGGAATAATTTTTAAATTAAATTATGTCTTCTGTGTTAGGCCATACCAAGTAGACACTCGTTTCTTAGAGAGGCTAGGGTGTCATTTTATCGGTGAAGAGGAGCGTCTCTGGAACAGCAGTTCTCAATACTGATGTACATCAGACTCACCTGGACTGCTTGCTAATTAATACACATGTCTGCAAGCCGCCCCCAGTTTCTGGTTCAGTAGGTCTGGGGTGGGGCCTGAGAATTTCTAACAACTTTCCAGGTAGTACTGATCATCAGGAGTGTCACATTTTGAAAAGAGTTTAGAAATGGAGTCATCCAATAGCTCATTCTGTTTGATTCACTAACTGATCTCAAAACCTTAGCCAGCCAATCTCCAGGCCTGTGAGTGGAAGGAGATTTCCTTCCTCTAAAACTCAATGGGATCCCACCTAGTGGAAGGGGGCCATGAGGCACAGCCACCTGCAGCATACTCATCAGATGTGGACACATTAAATGTCACTCCTCCTCCATCTCATTCATCATAACATGTTAGCAAAATCTAAAACATCTTGCAATATCAAAGGAGAAGTAAGAGGAAGGAAAAAAAAAACCTAGGAACAGAAACATTTTCCTGGTGTAACAGCAATTGAGTGGGAATTTTTATTTTCCCAGGAGTCAGTAACCCATCTTTTCCAGTCATGCCATCCCCTCCCATCTCACAAAAGTGGTGCCATCTTGTCAGCATCATGCCTTCAACACTCCCAGGACAAAGAGTGAGGGCAAAGAGGCATGGCCCCCTTCCACGAGGTGGGAATCCCATTGAGCTTTAGGGGAAGGAAGTCTTCCACTCACAGGCTTGGAGATTGGCTGGTTAAGGTTTTGAGATCAGTTAGTAATTCAAATATGAGGGCAAAGAGGCCTTCAATACTCCCATGTCCTCAAAAGGAATCAAGAACCTCTCCTCAGGACTAAGTTGGAGCTGCTCTCCCCAGATCTCATGCCTGCCCCCACATCTTTCTGGGGGGCCAGGGGAAGAGGGAGGGAGGCCATGGGAATCCACAGCCAAGTGAATACAGTGTTCATAGAGAGAGTCCTATTCTCCACCTAAGTCCTTTTCCTCCCCTCAGTGAGAAGGAGGAGGGTGCAGAAAGTATCCATCAAAGCCAGGCAACTGAAGCCCCGAGAGAATCTTCTGTAGGGTGTGGGGCACCAGCAGCAAGGATACAGGTGCTGCCCCCGGCTGGCTGGTGGGATGCTTGTGCAGTCTCTGAGCTGACGCCTGTGAGCAGGTTGCAGGAGGAGTCTCTGGGAGGTGTGGATCCTGATGAGGGTGGGTGTGGAGGGTTCTCCCTTCCTGAGCATGAGACCACTTCCTGCCCAGGGGGTACTGAAGGCAGGATGTTGTTGACAGCGGCCTCGCCATTTTCACAGAGCGGCCCTCACCACTTTCACAGAGGACAGGACTAGGTCTCTCCATCGGAGTCCCAAGATATAGAGAGTGGAGGATGTTGGTAGTTCTCGTGGATCATCGGGAAGGACACAGAGAAGAGGAAAGACAGTCACTCTGAGGCCATCCTGCATCTTGGACACGATTCTATGGAAGGCACCAAAAGGAGACACAGTGGACTCTAGCTCATGGGAAGTTCTAGGGACCTGAGCGGGTAGGAGTAAAGCAAAACACCAAACGAAGGAAACATAGAGGTCGCCTTAACACAGAACCAGATTTAGAAAGAACGAGTCAAAGGTGACACCCCATCATTGACTGTTATAGCAAACAACACTTGCCATTTATCCCAGTCCACTTCCTTGCTTCCAGCACCAGAGACCCAGCCCCAGCAAATGGAGGGCATGTCCTAGAATGACACCTGCCTCTCCCCATCACTTCTAGGAGGGGTTGGAAAGGTGCCAGAGCAACCCGCCTGCCTTCCCCACCCCAAGCCCTCTGACGCGTGAGCCTGGCTGACTGGAGACAGGGAAGGAGGTGAGATGTCAATTGGATAAGAGATTGGAGACTTAAACTGGACTAACTTTTAAAAATAGAAACTGACCAGAAATCTATGTGATCTTTCCCAGATTTAATTAAGGCAAGAGAAAAAGAAAAATGGAATTTGGCAGAGCAAAGTGAAACCTAAGAGTATTAGTCTGCTAGGGCTGCCGTAACAAAGTACCACAAACTGGGTGACATAAAACAAGAGAAATTAGTTGTCTCATAGTTCCGGAGGCCAGAAATCTGAAATCACTGTGTCAGTAGGGCCATGTTCCCTCTGAAACCTAGAGGAAAGAATTCTTCCTTGCCTCTTCTGGCCGTTGGTGTTTGCCAGAAATTCTTGGTGTTCCTTGGCTTGAAGGCACATCACTCCAGTTTCTGTCTCCATCAGGACAAGGCTGTCTTCATTGTCTTCCTTCTGTGCATTTCCATCTGCCCAAATTTATATTGTCTTCTGAGGACAGCAATCATGCTGGGTGAAGCCCACTCTTAACAATCTCATCTTCACTGGATTACATCTGCAAAGACCATATTTCTCTAAATATGGTCACATTCGCAGCTACCAGAGGTTCAGATTTCAACATATCTTTTTTTTTTTTTTTTGCAGATACAATTCAAACCATAGCACTGTGACAGTGGGGGGGGGGAATGTTTCCTGTTTACACCCCATAATATAATCAAAGGTTTGTTCCAGCTATTATATCCATATTGCTTGATTAAAATCAGTCATGTTTGCTTTGAAGTATGTTACTTTTACTTGTAACAATCTTCCCTTTAATGGTGATTAGTTGATCTTTTTACCACTTTAGTTACCTTTGTTTCAAAGGATTTTTTTTGAGTGCACAAAAGTTTGCATTAGGCTAATTTGCATACCATTTACCAGTTGAATTTTTCACACTCTGATACTAATATTAATATAGCAATTTAGTACAATGTTAAGAGCTGGAGATTAAATTGTCATCATGAAGCAGAGAGCAAAACTGAAACATATTAAATACCTGGAATTTGGACCTAGAATCTCCAACACTGTCCTAGAAGATTAAATAAATTCCTGATCAAAGGTAAAAGCTTATCCTCTTAGACTATTGGAGATGAATACTAAGCATTCATGCTTGTAGCTTCCATAACTGGAAACCTAACTGGGTCCTTTTTTTATAAATTTGAATTTTAATTTTTGTTGATTCTGTAAGAAATTGACAAAATAAATAAAACCCCAGTTTAAAGAACTTTATAAATTGACATGCTATATCTCTCAGATGTCCTGGAAGCAGAATTCTAAGACTGTGATTTTAAAACTCCAGTCCTCTGGTGGGGTGACATTCAAGCTTAACTAAAGATTTCCTCTTTTGACAGTCTTCAGTAAAGTTCACTAAATTTGAGAATATATTACTATTTTTCCTCTTTTTTACAAAAGCCTCCGGCAATGGGCATTCCTTTAGTTTTAAAGACTGAGCTCTTCTGTTCTTTCCAGAAGAGCACCCACAAGCTAGACCTAATCCATAGCCCTTGCTAAATTCTAATTCTGAGTCACAAGCATCTGATGGATCATGATGTCTCTGGTTGGTGTTGGGCACCAAATATCCTGAAGCTTGATTAATTGGGTTCCAAATGGCTGGCTGTCTCTAAGGTCACCTTCATTCTTTTGGAATCCATTGTGTATGGAATCAATGAGGCATCAAGCTTCTAACCAAACAAATGGCCTGCAAAATTATAGTTGTTACCATGTCATTTTATGAAAGTGAGACAGGCCGCTGTTACCCTATTTGTCTTCTTGGCAGGTTATAGAACACAGCTTCAGTTCCCTGTGTCAAATGTCAGCGCAGGTATGTGTCACCAGTCAAGGGACTCCAACGGACAGATGGTCGTGCTCACAAACATTTATATAGAAAGATGTTCATAACAACATTATTTATAATAGCAAAAAATGACAGCACCTAAATGTCTAATAATAAATTATGGCCCCTCCAGAGGTTGGAACAGCCTGAGACCACAGACAAGTATCTTTTGAGAAAGATTTTAAACGACATACTGAAAAGTGAAAAACAGGGCTACAATACTACATATGATTCCAGCTATGTAAATTGTGTGTGTATAAATGTCTTTAAAAACAGTGATTGGGAAAACCTCTAGAATATGGAGTTATTTTTATTTTCGTATTTATATTTTTCTGCATTTTCTAGATCTTCTACAACCAGCCTGCATTTTCTTTTATGAAAGTCATTCTAAAAATTTTCTCTTCTACTTAGGTGAAAAGAGTTAATTCTGTTTGTATAGACATACTGGTGGCAAATGGGCTTTGGAGTTCGAGGCAGCGCCACGCGTCTGGACTTGCCCACCAGAAGCCGGTGCTGGCTTTCAACTAGACATGTGAGCGTCACATGCATTCATTCACTCACAAACATTTTCTACTCCTGAGACTTAGGTCAGCAATCATGCAGAGATTTTGGGAGGTACTTACAGTAGACTGGGAAGATTTTAAAGGTATACTTACACCAGTATTATACAAAATAGAAAGCAATGAGCTAGTACTAAAAAGTTACAGATACAGATAACATCTTTACAGAAGTAAAAAAAACTGGAAAGTTAATAAAATAAAGTCAGGCCTAACTTTTCAAAGTCTGATAACAGTTGGAGACACCGAGTAGCGACTTGAACTTGAACAAACCTGTGAGACTCAGTATCTTCATGTGAAAATGGGGACAATACCAGACAACTCCCTGTAGTTTACACACATACACACACACACACATAAAAC